AAAACTCGTTCTGTGATACGATACTCATGTTCAGATATTGCTATAGTCAGACCTATCTAAGGCTATTTTACTTAATTTTAATCAAGATTTTGAGGTTGGTGGGTATTGTTAAAAAAGTATCTGGAGTTGGGGTCGAAAAGCACAGAGCTCCTACTTATCTCTCCACATTGTAGTTCCACTGAAAGTCATTTGGGCTTTCTGTTTTGTTTTACCTAGTCCTTAAAGGAACACTGTCAGCCTTACAGGGTTGAATTTAAAAAATAGTTTAAGATGGCATGGATGTGCAACTCCACCTAGCAGGCCATGTTACATATGGCCTTACCTCCATCACTAGGAACCTTGCCTGACCTTGGTAGAAAGCTCTCTTCTGTCATACTTAACTGAGACTATGAACAGAATCAAATTTAAGGGGGGAAAATCCTTGAATATTGATGAATTGCTCTTGCCGTAGAATACAGGAAGTTCAAGACTGAGTAATGATGTGTTTACTTAGATGAGATTGTGAATTCTTCTAACCTGTGCATCCTGAGCAAGAATAGCAAGACAAAAGTAGGATTTGCACTTATCACTGAAAGCTCAGTTATATACTGAAGCCTTGATTTCTCAATTTTGTCTTTTTGGACTTGTATGCAAAGTTTTGTTTTTTGTAAAATTTTAACAAACTAAGCTTGAATGAAACCTGAGCTTGCCTTTGTTTAATAAAGACGTGAGCATAGTGGCAGAGGTCTTACTCGGCACATGTGCCAAGAAGCTCTGGGTTCAGTACCCAGAACTGATAAAACATTTTTTTATTTAAGGACCTTCCTCTTGTGATCCAAATCTGACTTCTAACATTACCTCCCAGTTTTCTTCTTTAGGCCTCCTGCTCTAGTCATGCATTTCTCAGTCTGCTGAACACATCTATGTTCATGCCTCTGTAGCTTATCTCATACCATTCTCTCCTTAAAATGCTCTTCCCTGCTTACAGTGCCCTCTCTTTATTTCTGTCCATCCCAGCCTTGCTCATCCATTGACATCTAGCACAAGGAAGGTGTTATTATGCCATTCTGCTCTGAACTCTTCACATCTCCATCATTGCCTTAACACTACCTCCTAAGTGCATACATTTGCTACTTGGGATATTTTTTTTTTACTTTATGAACAAATTTCATCAACCCCAGTAGACAGTAAACACTTTTAAAGCAGCTCTATGGTATTACAGATTTTTGATGCAATCAAAAATCAACAAGTTAAGGTCCTAGTGAATCTGGAAGCCAAGAATAGACTTTATTTTTAAAGGAAAACTTGTTCTCCATAAAGTAGGTATTGAGGAAGAGGTTATCACATGGAACTAATATCCTGGTAGTTCATTCACTCTGCTCAAAGATTTGTATAGTGCCTGTAACACATCAAGCTCTGTGCTATGCACTGGGGATACTGAGATAAAGATGCTAGCTTTGCTGTATGGGAACTCTAGGTGAGCAAGTCAGACATACAAAAAGGTAATTACAATTTAGTGCTGTTAAGTATTACTATAAAGGAAATGCTGTGAAGCATAAGATACAAATTACTCTGTGGGAATCTGCTTTGCTAGAGGAGATTGGAGCTACAGAGGTGTGAGGCCCAAGAGGGAATCAGCAGGAGAATAATATGTATAAAATCACCAAAGCATAGTCAGGAAGAAAAGTATAAAGTTTAATGTGGCCAGTGTGTTTGTGTTTGAGAGGTCTGGGGCTAGAAGAGAGTATGGCATGAGAGTTGGTGAGATTGAGCAGGTTGGCACCCCCGTGTGAAAAAGAAGTATGGAGAAATATGGACCTTTCCCTTGAAGCAATAGAAAACCATTGATAGTTTCTGAGCAAGGATACAATATAATTACATATAGGACAGATTGAGAATATAATGAGGTAGGAATTTTAAAGACTGCTGAATAGTCCAGGAGGAATCAAGGACAAGAGACTAGAGAGACCTTTCTGACCTCTAGTACTGCACTTCAGATAGCGATAGTCTAGAAGTGTGAAACAAAGAATGAATCCTTTACTTAGCACTCCCCAACCAAGCCCTGGGTATCCCTTATTCTGTCACACTCATAGCCACTAAATATACTAAGTTACCAATAACACCTATAATATATTTCCTTATGCAGTAATCGTTAAATGAGGTCTTACTATGCAGGACTATTTTCTGGTACTATGGTCTAACTTTACCTGTTACCTGTTGTTTTATAAATAAAAGTTTTATTGGAATCATTTACATATTCTCTGGATGATTTCCCTTTATCATAGAGTTGAGCAGTTTCAGTAGAAACAATGTGTCCCACAGGCCTTTAATAAATATTTACTGTTGCCCTTTACAGAAAATGTTTGCTAATCTCTGGTCCAAAGTGACAATTCTTGCTAGTATAAAGGAGGGAAGGGACCTATGATAATTTCTGCGGACAGTATATCTTTGGAGAAATTTCCTTATTGGTAAATAATTGGAACATTTTCATAACTTACTGGTAAATAACTAGAAATTGTCCAAAATTTATTAGTTGTTAATTTTCAGTGACTCTGACCCAAAAGGAGAATATACGATTAATTAGAGAAAGCTGCTTTGGAAATGAAAATCTAAGTCAACTGCTTGGTTGTTGGAACAGTCATATTAAAATGATGTAGGCATTAAAATATAGGCATTGCCAACCTAGCTACAGAATAATCTAGAATCAGCTGAATAGTTCTTTGTCATTTAACAAAACAGAAAAGAAAATCCCAGGGGAATATAAAGATGAGACAGGCTTAAGGAAGCTAGAAGGTTAATGTGGCAGTAAAGTACAGGCCTTTAGGCCATGTCATCAAGTGAGGAGAATGGTTCAGAGATAATTCGGATGCGCACATAGAGCTCAAGGTCTGTTGCAGCTTGTATATCATTATATTGGGGACCCATCCCTTCCATACTAACTTTAAGTAAATTTTTTTGGTGGTTGGTTTATTGAATACCTGAAAGAATAGTGGGAGGTTTTGTGAGTTCCACAGTAGGATTTTAGTTTCTGGCTGTTGAACTGATAACTAGATAGATGGAATGTGTTTCCCTTGGTTTTAATTTCCATTTGTTCAGTATTTGTACCAAAAAAGTCCTGAAGGGCTAAACTGGGTGGGAAATTGCTTGTGTGTGTCCTGTTTTTAAAATCTTTCTTTCCTCCAGGTTATCCTACGTACAAAGAAAAAGTAAAGAAAAGGCCTGGGGGCCGCCCAGAAGTCATTTACAACTATGTTCAAAGACCCTTTATTCGAATGTCCTGGGAAAAGGAAGAAGGAAAGAGTCGGCATGTAGACTTCCAGTGTGTAAAAAGTAAATCTATCACCAACCTGGCAGCAGCTGCTGCAGACATTCCCCAGGACCAGCTGGTAGTCATGCACCCAACTCCACAGGTGGATGAGCTGGATATCCTCCCCATTCACCCCCCTTCTGGCAACAGTGACCTCGATCCTGACGCACAGAATCCAATGCTGTGACGCTGTCCCTGAAACCATAGCATGCTACTCTTCACAGTCTCCTCATCCACACTGCAAGGCCACTCTTCTTCATTGTGAGATGCACATGTTTAGGATATTGCAGTGTAGGTTTTTTAAAGACCAAAGGTGGCTGAATGGTTTTTTAAATGAGTACAATTCTAGCATCCTGAAGTTCCACCTATAAAAATGTATTTGTTTACCAGTAGATTTGTGAAATTGGTTCTTTGTATGGGGGACAGTCCTTTTTCACACATAGAGAGGTCTTTTCAGAAGTGGAAATTGGCAGCTGGGGTGCTTTCAAGCAAGACTGATATTCATCACACCCCAGATAAATGCAGACTATTACATAGTTGCACTTTATATATGGTAGTTAAATGGAACTGTTCAAGCCATTTTATAGTTGTGATGTATAATATAACTTAAGTGCTTCTATCAAAGTATTTCTTCAGTAAAATGTGTATAGCTTGCTGCCCATGATGAACAAAATAGTATTTATCTTGGGCTTATTTGAATGATTAGGACGAGATTCAGTGCTCATATCTTATTGGTTCACTTATCTCTAGTGCTGCTTCACCCTTTGAGAGTGAGTCACATGCAGGGAGTGTGAACATCAGAGGTGGTTTATTATCCAGTCTGCCTTACCCTTAATCTGTTCACAGATATTTATTTACTAATGTTTTTCTTAAGCATTATGAGGTAGGAAAATGAAGTGTTTGTTCTTTGTTTACTAAATGATTGTAACTCAAGTTTTTCATCAAAATAAAATTCCATTGTTTTAATGTTTCAGACCAACTTTATAACCACCTTGGCCAGATTTCTAGTCTCAGGTTAGATTTTCTGTCTTATTGGTGTAAGTACAACTAGAAATCAAATAGCTTTTCAAATGAACTCTTAATTTGGTATATGTGTGACAAAGCACTTAAATTTCTTACTAATTATAAAATATACTATAAATCTAAAGTAATATTAGAGCTGAAAAGAGAGTGTGCCCTGGTCCACCACAATGAGATGTGAAATGACTTTACCCTAAGGTTAAGAGCCAGTTTCAGATACTAGTTCAGTTTTTTGCATTATATTGTGCTGCTCTGCTTAGCAGATTCATGCAAATGGTGTCTTAAATATTCTGTGGCCTAATTCAAGAAAGAATCAGAAATATTTAGGTGGTTTGGGTCGGTGGTCACTTAATGTTTGAAGCCATACAATTGTAAATAGTGGTAAGAAGAGTAGCAGTGGAGAGAAGTCATAATTGTGGACATAATTGTGCATTTGTAAATTCAAAGGATTTGATATCTGTGTGTAAGAAATAATAACTTTGTTCTCCCATAAATCGAAATGTCAACAATTTGGAAATTAACTATTTTTCACAATGCATCTAGCACGGAGGAAGTGATATAAATCCTGGAACTGTTATGAAGATCAGAAGGCACTACAAGTGTTAGTACCTGTTGGAATACCCATGGTTGGAATTGATGATACAACCCTACAGCATGTAGGATTTTTTTCTAATTATTTGAAATGAGAACAGTATTTATAGAACAAGGGAAACATTTATTAAAAATATTTAACTGTCTAATACATTATACTTTAACCCATATTTATAGTAAAGGATTCTTACAAGGAAGAATAAACGGTTTTATGATACAATTAGTATAAGAAATATCCACATGGGGGACTTCTTTGTAGTGTAAAAACACCATACATCTGAAATGACCATTTGCATATAAAAGCTACCAATGATGCTTCTGTGCACAATGATTAAAAAATTCAACACAAACAGAATCCAAAATATACAATTAATGCAAGCTATCCACAGCTAGCCCATTAATCAATGATGAGGAAACACTGGAGCAGGCTTAGTTCCACTTTGTCTGAAGTTACACATAGTAAGATTGACTTGTATCAATGGCTCTGAGATGGCTTTTATGAAGTCGGTACATAAAAGCTGTTTTCTCCCTATCCAGTAAGCTTCACAGACTGTAAAACTCCACCAGTAATGCACTTTGATACTGTAGCTGTTGCCAAAGCAACATGTAGTGTCTACAGCGGCCATGGTAAGTCGCTAAAGTCAACAGGGCCACCCAGCCCAGCATCTGCTTCCAGGAGGCTCATGATGACAGCCATTGCCGCTTCATCATTACTGGGACTACTTGATCCTTGGTCGTTATCTATCATGTCTATGCCTATGTGGGGGTTCTCACCTGTGAACAGAGATGAAGATTGGTCAGTAATTTTTTAAAAAAGCATGTTTATAGACTTAGTAAGCAATTTCTAAGTTTTTGTTTTGTTATGATCCTGGGGATTGAACCTAGGGGCCCTGTGCTACTGAGCTACTTCTCCAGCCCTTTTTAAATTTTTTATTTTGAGACAGGTCTCACTTAAATTGATCAGGCTGGCCTTGAACTTGGGATCTTCCTGCCCGAGTCTCCTAAGAAGCTGGGATTATAGGTGTGCACCCCTGTTCCTGGCTCTACAGCATACTTTTAATGAGAAAAATTAATATTTAGCAGTACACTGAGATAGGCTGCTTCTGGGTCTATAATGGCAACATATATTATATATATTATATGCAGAGTCCACCAAAAAATGTATGCACACTTCAGCAGTTTGCCATACTAATAAATGTCTGGAAGCTCATGGCCACCATTTTGAGCACCTCTTGTACTTGTAGAGGCCAAAGGTAACTTGTATTAATCTCCTGATGTCTCAATAAATTTAGTATTAAAATATTTATGCAAGTTTTTCTTTTCCTGATGTATACATTTTTTGGCAGACTCATGAATATATAAGTATATATGTACACCATACATATAAATATGTTGCTTTTTTCAGAGGTAAGAACCAGCCCTTTAGAAATAACACAGTACTGAAAATTCAGTAAATATTAAAAATATTTGTATTGACCTCATTTTAATGTTCTAGTAACCAGCTGAGAGAGTTACAGAAAGAATGGCAAATAGGAGAGAAGACTAAAAAGATGGATGAGGTGAGAGATAAAACTGCCATCATTTAATGATTAGTACCCCCTGAAGATTATACCCTACATGGGAGTAAACCTGTGGTCCAGACATCCTTGGATCCCCATCAAAACACAACCATTAAAGTCAATTTTGAAGTATTTAAATCAATTTCAAACCTTTACTTATCAAACTTTTCTAGAACTAGCTTGTTTTGTGCACTGAGCTCTTAAAACCTTTATGCCAGAGTTTTTACAAGCCCATTGAAATGGACATGAATAATAACGCTACTTACCAAGAATAGAAGAACTATCAGAATATGGATAGCCTGGATTCTCCTGTGCCTGCCCTGGTAGTAGGCCACTGGAAGGAATGTCTGGAGTCCCTCCATTTAAAATCTACAAGCGAAAGGGGAAAAATGTGAAGTTTTCCACTCTTGTTAGGAACTTCCAATCAGTACCATGTGCAGTATCACTAAGAAAATAAGCATGTTGGGAAGAGAAATAAGGGAGAACTTGAAATGGGTTTATCTTATTATCAGATGATTTCAAACAAGAAACTGTTAGGAACAGTCACAATAAGAAAAAACTTCTTCCCCAAACTAACATTTTATCTGCATTTGATAATATAGGTGGTGGAAAGGCTGAATAAAAAAATCCCTGACTACCTGAGATCATGCTGTCCACATGCCTCTTTAAGGACAAAGCCTAAAAGTCAGCCCAGCTGCGCAGTTCCCCTGTAAAGGAGTAAAACATGGCAACCAAACCATGAAACCATGTTTCAAAAGAAGAAATAACGGGTTGTTAACAAGCTGTGAAGTGACAGCTCTCAGGAGTCACAAATGAATAGCACAACACGAGAAGTAAATCTTTGATGATCAGGTATATTATAGGTATCAATTTCAGTAACCTCCAGTTTTCTTTCTTTTTTTTTTTTTTGAGCACAGGGCCTTCTCACTGAGATACATCGCCAGTCCTTTTTTTTTTTTAAATTTGAGACAGGTGCTAAGTTGCCCAGGCTGGACTGAAACTGGATCCTCCTGCCTCAGCCTCCCAGAGTATTGGATTACAGGTATGCACTACCACGCTGGGCGCATTAACTTTCTTAAGGTAGGCCACTGAGAAGATTGTACTACTCCCAGATTATTACTCCTCCTTGACTTTAACTCTCTCTCAAAGTCCCTCCCCACTCCAAGGTCCTGCTCCTTGGCTGAGTTGCATTCTTTCAGAAGTCCCTGTATTTGAACCTGAGCAGTTTGGTAGCTGCTGGGTTTCAGGAGTAGTGATTTCAGACTTTGCCAGCAGGTGGCATTACAACATTGTCTCCACATTCAGCTTTTTGGTATAGGGACCCCCTTACGCTCTTAAAAATTATTGAGGACACCAAAGAACTTTTGTTTATATAGGTTGTATTTATCAAGGTTTACTATATTTGAAATTGACATTTTTATACTATATTAAACCTGTTACATGTTAGCATGAATAATAACATTTTATTGAAAATTAAATATTTTCCAAAATAAGAACAAAACATGAGAAGTATCTCATCGCTTTACATTTTGCAAATCTAATGCCAGGCTTAAGAAATTTCTACTGGATTCCCATAGTTGATTCTCCTTTTAGTCTAAAGTATATGAAGGAAATCCACGTCCCACAGACTATGTAGCTGGAAAAGGGAGGCATATTTTAATAGCCTTTCAAAGTAATTGCAGTATTCTTATTCTTTGATATTACATCAACACTTCACATGTGGAAGTTTCTTAGATGTTAGTTGCGTATGAAATCTGAAACTATGTCAGTTTTTTGTACTCTTGTATTAAAGTACGCTGATGTATCTTGGCACTTTGCATGGATCTTTCACCACTGAATGATTTAAATATCTTGCATTGGTCATTTATAGGATAATGTTTCACTGAGGTTTGCAGATCTTCCAAATGTTGACACATTTAATTATACAGCATCAAAACATCACCATTGTTGTAAGTTTTGGGAAGCTGTAGAACTCAAAGTAGCAGACACAAGTTTCCTAAAAATTCCAATTTTTGCTTGAAAGTGCAGATTTTATCATGAGAAGCAAATGCTATTGGTTGTTTTCCCTAAAGTGACAATGTGTGCTAAATACTCAAGTCTTTACAGCAATAGTTTATTAGAGTACAAATGATGTCCTGTGAAACAGGAAGCTAGTTTGGCTACAGCTTAATCAGACACATGCTTTTTCTTGAGACAACTGTCATACTCCATATGCAGCATAAATGCTTTAAAGTAATAGTTTTTACTACTTCATTAAGGACTTTCTGGATTGAAACTGGCTTTTAAATTATTTACTTCTTATTGTGAGTATGTGGTGGTGAAGAATACAGTGACTTCTAGCAGTTTGGTGCCACTGCTCTGATTCTTGCAAAAGCACCAGAGTTTCACACCCAGCATTGTTCCTGCACTGACAGTGCACATAAGACACAGTGAAAAATTAAGAGTAATGTTTTAACATTATGATGATACCTTTGACCTTGCGAACACTCGGAAGGATACTGAAGGCTCCCCAAGAGACCACAGATGACATCTGCCAAACTGCTGCTCTATCTGAACTTGCTGTGGTGCCTCTAAGATGTCCCTGTTCTCCTGGGATCCATGGTGGCCACTTAGCCTCCCCGTTTTAGCTTGATCCTGACTGAAATAACTGCAAGCTAAATGACAAATCTGAAAGTGACTGGGAAGGGGCATCTTTACTCTTGTGGGTCTGCTGCACCATTTAGTGGTGAGGTCATTTTTAACTCCATCTTGTTTAGGCTGCTTTGCTTGTAAATCCTGCTGCTGTGGATTCATCTCATTAAAGAATACATTCAAAATTTCTTCTCCCAGACCCATTGTAATAAGCCCTCTAAAGAAAAGGAAAAAAATTTCATAAATACCTCAAAAATACTGGGGGCTTTATGGTACAGAGCACAGATTTGAATTTCTAGGAGTTGTGAAAAGAATTGGAAGTGATGAAACCTGGATTATAGATCAGGGCCCTATTTATTAAACAAATGCTGCGGAGATGAATTTTTGTCACCTGTAAAATTATGAGGATGAGAGAGTATATATGAAAGTGCTCTAATATTTAAGCACTCCTGGAGTGATAAAATCTATGTCTTAGAATCCTTTACAATACCAAATGGTCAAGTGCCTAAAACTGAATTGAGAAGGAGAAACAGGGAGACCACCCTCGGGAGATATGGAGGAAATAAATAGAACAGAACGAAGAGTCCAGCCAGCAAACAGTGGGATGTCCAGATTTCATCTGTTGGCATTTTCTGAGTCATTGTTAAGGGCTAGTTACTCTCACATACATTTTCTCATAACAGAACTTCACTTACAAAGATTTTAGCTGTCCTAACAAACAGCCTCATTATAAAGAAAACTAAGGCTTAGAAGTTATGCAGAATTACATAAGTAGCATATGGCAAAGCCAGGCTTCAAACTAGGTCTATCCTATGTTGACCATTCTCTTACCCACTAATTTATTGGCCCTCAGCCTTTTAGGGGGAGCAAAACCTTTTTCAAATGGAAACTTCTGTAGAAGAGTCATATATAAAATGGTGGAAGTAAGCTGCCCCAGTAGAAGCAGGTGTCCTGACCTTACATTCTCTCCTTGCCAACTACCCTACCCACCTACCAATGCCACTTAGTAGCATCAGCATCACCTCTTGGCAGTCTGAGCCTCTGAGAAGCCTAGTTTTGAAAAATCCCTGCCTTGCTTTTGATGTAATTATGCCCTAAGGGTCTTGCCAATGTAAATTCCTGCTTCTCTCTGTATCTGTTTTGAGAAACAGAAGACCACATCCCAAGAAGCTGCAGGTCCTTGGGTTGACATCTGGCACTATGAGTACATTTATGGCTTAATATGCCTAGATTTCTATGTTCTTTGGCAAGATAGCAAATGAGTGTTTTCTAAACTTCTTTTTAATGTAATCTTTTAGCAGCTCTCATGAGAGCTGGTGACTGATAAAACTACTTGTACCCAATACACAGGAAATCCTGAAGCCTGGCTTGACTTTCAGAGCACCGCTGGTGCTACTGCTGTTTACAGTGCCTGCCGTAGACACTAAAGCTATCTTCTGTATGTTTCTGTGTAGTTACTGATCCCTCCCTCAGGGAACCTTTTGAATTGCTCCCTCAGTGAAATGAACTGACAGTTCTTCATTCCTTAGAATGTTCTGCTTTTCCACATCCACGCAGAATAAATCCTCTTAAGGATGTCAGCAGTCCTCCAAAGCTCTACCACTCTGCTTTATACTTAGCCTTACACATGCATGTACGTCAAGTAGGAAAAAAGTCTTCACTAGTTTCAGCAATCAATGTGTAATCCTTTACTACCACCCATAACATTTCAGAACCTGGGCAAGAAAGAGGCTGTCTAGCCTAAGTCATCAGACTCACCTTCTTGCCTCCTGGAGAGGAGGCATCAGGGGGAGGCGTACTTGTGATGTTCAGTGGGCTAGAACCACAGCTGGAAGGCGACGACCCTCTTATCCTGTCAGAGAGAGAAGAGTTAGTTACATTTTCTTTTCTCTTGTCAGGGGTGTGTATTAAGGGATGGAGACAAAAGAAGGATGAAGATCTGGACCTCTTTAGGGATTGACAGACTTTCTGTAAGGACCAGGCAGCAACTATTTCAGTCTCTGGGCCATTTGGTCTTTGTAACACTAGTCTTCTCTGCCCCTGCAGCTTGAAAACAGCCACAGACGATACATAAATCTATGAACATAGCTGTCTTGAAATAATTTACAGAAATAGGTGGTGAGCTGGATTTGTTCTGCAGGTTCCTGGTCTGGAATGCACACACTGAAGTCAAGCATTTCACAAAGCCCTTGAATTAGGGTTTGGATTCTTGTGGTGAATTTCAAGTAAGCTTTGTTTCCTTGCAAAATCCAGGTGAGTTGGCGACCTTAGAAATTTAACCCTACATCTTTGATACTATGAATTGGAAGCAAATGATTCATCTTGTTCCCTGTAAACACTGTTTGACTAGTGAATACACTTAGGAAATGGAATGTCCCACGGTAGCTCAGCCACACCTACAAAGTAACATAAGAGTAGAAGCAGTAATCGTAGCAACCTCTAAAGCAACAGGTGATAGAAAATGGATCTGGTCTTTCTCAGACTATCTCAGCAGTGGAGATTTATAGAAGGAAAGACTTAGAACTGTAAATCTACATAAACTTGTCAGGCTGCAGGACTTCAGAAAAGGAAGCCATGGCTTGGCACTGAAGCTCGAGTTCAGGAAGCATGATGGCAGCTGTGTTACCGCCCTGCTCTCAGCTATTCCACGGATGAATGCAGCTTTGGGGTCACCTGGGGATGACCCAAAGGTCTCATGGGTCCTGGCTTGTACTGCCTACTTCTCTAGATTTGTGAGGGAACAAATTTTCTCTCCTGAATTACAAGCTCTTCAAAGGCAAAATACAATTGTGTATCATGGACTCTCAGCACACACAGATGGCTTCTAATTGCTTACTGAAAAATTGTTGTGTCTGCCAGATCTCCCTGCTTAGGACTGAAACCACTATTTTCCCAGGCTCCCCCTCTTGAAATTGCCTTTTCATCATTCTCTATTTCATCTTCAACACCTGGCCCTTACAGTATTGGTTTGTGTATTCATAGTGTCATCACTGTAGGCCAGGCCTCATACTACCATTATCTCTCTCTAGTCTAGTGCACTTTCTGTAATGCTTAATGCTTTGGTTGTCTGCTGAACATCCTGCGATGAATGGAACTCGACAATTTTCTTCAGTCCAAACTGCTCGGCATTATTTTGTAGGCTTTTTAGCCTCCCATCTTAGCCCTGTGGCTGGCTCCTACATCAAGCCTGCCCAGTTAGGCTGTCTGCTTCTTGAGCCTGAACATGAAACTCAAAACCTTACCCGCCCCCCCGCCCCCCAAAAAAGTGTGCCTGGTTTTCTAGAGGTAACATTGAACCTCACTGCAAACCCTGGCCAAGACTGTGCTCAAACCCCCCTCCCTTGCTGGCTTCAGCCCATGCATTTTCCACTTTTCCTCTTTAATATAAAGAAAACAACTTTTCAAAAGATTTTAAGGTTCTTGAGGTCAAGGATTCTGGTAGTACTACATTTAGATAGTCTCACACCAAGCACCAGGTATGTAGTGGCTGATTATACTGCATGCTACTCCATCTCCTTCCTGAGGCAGAGGCAAGCAGCCAAACCCAATGATCTGAGGGGCTGGAATAGAACTACTACCTGTGAGTGCCCCATGTGGCCCACTGGAAAAGAGGTCAACCTCCAGTTCTCCAGACAGGCAATCCAGTGGCAGCAGGGAATATTAGCCTTTCCCCCCTTTACTATGATTGTATTCCATTGGGTTTACATTCCTAAGTATCTGTCAATAGAAGATCCTTGAGTCATACACAGAGCGTTAGGAATTGAGTCTCCCCACGAGTCAGTCCCCTTTAGCTCTGACCTATTTTGGTTTAGCTTCTTTATTTAAGGCAGAATTTCTAAATGTCAGCACTCCTGATATCTTAGACTGGCTCATTCTTTGTGGGGATCAGGAGGCTGTTCTTTGTACTGTATGATATTTAGTAAGCAGTATCCTTGTTTTTTTTCCCTGGATGTTTAGCAGCAACCTCCCACCCAACTGTTATAACCAAAAGTGTCTCCAGAGATTGCAATATATTTCCTGGAGAGATGTGGTGGGAAAGAGAATTATCTGGGCTTAGTACCACTGGTTCAGGGAAACAACCAGAAGGTGCTACTTGCCTGTGGATTTCCATGATTTCCTCAGCAATCATTCGACCTATTTTTCCTGCCCCAGCCCTGGTTCCCCCTGGAATCCCTGGAACAGTGGGATGGGTCCTCTTTGGGCCACCTACAACAAAGGAATCTGAGAGTGGGAAAGGGGAAAACTGAGGAAGAAATACTATTATGTGTCAAAATCAGTTCATCCCATGATACCCTTTAAGTTCAACGTTGGGGTTGTGCCTTGTCAGGAAAGGATATGCCAGCAAGGAAAGCCTCAAACTTCCATACAGGATCAGAGACCAGAGTGTTGGCATGGGGCAGCTAACTCCCTTCATGCACTCAAAGTGTTCACTGGACATCACTGTGCTTTGTGCGAGGGTTACACAAAAAGACAGTATCCCTGCCCTCAAGGAATCAGTCTAACGTGGCTAGAGCAAAGAGGTAAGTTTGGTAGGTTAAGCATGAGACACCCAACGAATCCAGTGTCAGGTGTAGCCTTCTGGAAGAGGTTAACTCTGAGGTGACTCTTGAAAGATGAGTACAAATTACCTTGGCAGATAAAGAAGAGCATAGCAACCAACACGTACAAAGAGCACTGAGCACTTGGGAGTCTATTCCAAGGAATTCGGGAGTGATGAGGGGTGAATCTGGTGCACCAAGTACCAATCAAATCCTGAGGGGTCTTGGATGCCAGGCTAATGAATTTGGCCAGTACCCACAAAGGGTAAGTACCAAGGACTTTACATGGAGAATGTACTAAGTGAAATTTCAGTTATGAAAAGTCCACCACACAGAGAATGAATTATACCTGTGTATCACTTAACAACAGGGATACGTTGTGAGAAATTTGTCACTGGACAATTTTGTCATCGTATGACCTACTCAAATCTAGATAGTATAGCATACTACACACCTAGGCTATATGGTACAGGCTACAAACTTGTACAGCATGTGATTGTGCTGAACCCTAGAGGTGAGTGAAACAGTGGGATTTATGTAGCTAACTGCATCTGAACAGGGTGAGTGATGTGTGACTAGACATTCCCATGGCTACGTGGTCATTAGGTGGTAGGAGTTTTTCTCCTCCCTTATAATCTTATGGGACCACTATCGTGTAAGCGTTTTGAGATGATTGGGAATGCTGTTAAGCTGCCCATGACTATGATGGAGGATGAGGCAGGACAGTGAGATTAGAATTAGGAAATTAACTGCAATACTCTAAGCAGCAGATAAGGAGGGCAAAAGAGCAGTGATGATGGGTTAATTTAAAAGAAGGAACAGAATTTAAGATTTAGATATCATGGGGGAGAGGCAAGGGCCAAGATTTCTGGCTTAAAGGACCAGATAGGGAAGTGCAGAGAATGTTTCTGATGTTCTGAACTTCAGGTGCCTCAGTGACTCCAGATGGCTCTGTCTGGGTGGCAGCTGGAGAGACATGCTGGAGCTCAGGAGAAACCAGGCTGGCACTGTGGATGTGGGCATGAACAGTAGAGAGGTGCAAACTGTAGCCATGCTAGCAGAAGGAGTGCCACAAAGGATGAGTCCAATGTGGAGGGCTGGGGCCAAGGTCCACTGGCTATAGTACATGCCCCAGTGCCAATAGACATCTCGCTCCTAACCACAGGAGCCAGTGACTGTCACCCAAACCCACTGGGCAACAAAGCACAAGGGAGTCAGAGTTTGCTATTTCAAGGGCTTTAGGGACCCAGGTGACCTCAAAAAGTTCAATAATGAGTTCCCAATATTCAGACTCAACAGAAAGTAAGACGATGGCTTCCTTAGTACTCAGGATCCCTTTGAGATCTCCCTTGTTCCACAGAATGTGACAGCAGGGGACCCTGAACAGCTGGAGTTAGGGATCTGGCCGCAAGCAGCTTCTCATAGGGAAGCCCCGATGCAGGACATAGTTACCTTCTCCAGAGGGCAGCATGCTGTCCATGCTGTGGGGGGATGCTGTGAGCTGCGGGAAGGTTGGGTCCCCGCCTTCCAGGACGTTGGCTCTGTGAACATCCCAGCAATAAGGAAATGTGAGTCAGGGCTGCTCAGAACTGTGCGTCTTTCACCTTGGCCAAGGTGTCCAGTGTCCACTCTGGACCTGGACAGGCCAGAAAATGAAGTCTGTCTGAGTGCGAACAGGTCTCCTCACTGTCTCATAACCCAATGGACGCATCTCGGCCTCTGACCTCATAGCCTGCCTGAGCCTTTCTAAGTTGTGCGGGACACAGTCCAGTGGAAGTGGTGGCTCCAAGAACAGACTGCCACTGCCCCAGTACCTTCTCTACCACCAGGCTACAGCACAACCAGTCCTCAGTCACCTCGAACCCCAGTTGAGGGGTAGGATGCTATGGGGAAGGAGATGTGGGGAGGAGACTCCTTCCCTCCTGCTCACCTTGAAGGTGGCAGCAGCCTTGGAGGGCACATTCCAGCTGCCAGTGCTCCAGCCTGGGTGGCATGGAGACCTGCCCATTCTCAGCCAAGGCCATAAGAGCTGTTGCCTGTGTGAGCCTTTCATGGGTAGTGAACCCCTCCTTCTACAGCAGCACAAGGGGATCCCCAGGGTACCGGGCCTGTAGAATCCAAAGGTTGAGTGCTTAGTCCAGAAGGATAGCTTGCGGTCTCCTGGAGTGATTCCATGAGCCAGGGCTTGCACGGTATGCATTTTAAAGCTTGTCATTTGTTAACAACCCTTTCTGCCCTCTGCCCTTTCTGTGGCTTCATTAATAAGGGGATGTTAATAAGGTGCCATCAAAGGATGTATTACTAGCTGTTGGCTGCACTCTTTCCCCAGGTAAAGACCCCAAGCCATCTCTCTTTGAAACAAGGGGGCCTTTGCTTATCGGAAAAATACTTACAAAACAACAGTGTTGGTTGAGACAATGTATTCTACTTCCTTGGTCCAAGGGTTCATGAAACTGAACCATCGACTTCGTAGTGTGATGAAAGAACCATCTTTGATTTTAAACTTATAGCAATTAGTTGTAATCTTTTCTCTTGTCTGTAGAACTAAAAATGCAAAGAAATCATGAATATTGTCATTTCCTCAAACCCATGTAATTAAACAGGAGACCCAATACCAAACACCAAAGGTACTTAGACTCCAGCGCCTCACTCTAATAAGCCGAGGGAGCCAGTGCCCAGTGCTTCAGAGAACAGACAGTTTCTGAGAGCCTCACTCAGAGCCCTTCAATTTGCTCCTCTGTCATATTTTCCTCATAGTCTATGAAATTAAGGCTCCGGGGAATAATGGAATCAGCTGTGACTAACACCAGCAAATAAGTCACTGTCCAAAGGGGTCATACTCTTTTTTCCCCATCACAAAGACCAGAGGCAGTATCACACTTGTCTCATTTTCAGGAAATCCGAAACTGTACAGGCCACTGACCTATTCAAGCCTCATTTTTTCATGGAACACATGTCAGGAGCACCTTTCAGGTGGCAAGCACTGGAGAAAGAGGAAACAGGGTATGATTCCTGCCCTCGGAAGAGGAGTGAGTCAAAGGTACACGGAGGAATCAAGAGATCAGAGTCAGGGCCGGGGATTTAGTTCAGTGGTTTCACCGCCTGCTGTGCAAGCACAAGGACCCGAGTTCAATCCCCAGTACCAAAAAAAAAAAAAAAGAGAGAGATCAGCGGCTTGAAAGATGAATCCATTTGCCAAGAGGAAGAAAAAGGAAAGAATCCAGCAGTGCAGGAGGAGCACAGGGCGGCCTGGCGGGGAGGCACCAGTGAGAAGGTTGGTGTAGCTTGTGTAGCCTCTACAGGCAGGAATGAAAGTGAGGATCTGGGTGAGGGCCAGGAGGTGGAGAAGGTCTTGGATTTAATGCCCATCAACGTCTAGGCTTCAGTGTAAAGGGAGGAGGGTTGCAAGCACTGTCAGGGTCAGTCTATCCAAGGATAAACGGGGTAACTGTAGAAGACAGACTGGGGGTGAGAGGGAGCAGGCAGACCCATTAGGAGTCTAAATCAAGTCTGCAGTGGGCACAGAGGTTGAACAAGGGTCACAGCAGTGAGGGTGGTAAAGAGTGGACTGTGGAGATGGGTGTCGGAGGTGAGGACAGTGAAGGGAGGGGTCAGTGTTGCTTCCTCAGGAGGCTGCCTATGGCCATACCATTAGTCAAGGAGGAAAATACAGAGGGAGGGGTCACATGCGTGTATGGAAAAGCGCATCGGGTCAGAATGAGCCATACTAAGTCTCCACAGGGTGTGGGGAGACCCTCTGAAGAAGATGCCTCCCAGTAATGCCATGCCTATGTAGAGGAAACTGCTGTACAGTCAGGCTGGGGCACCTGCAAGGGGACAGCAGCATCCTGGGCCGTCAGCCTCCTTTCCTTACAGACGTTTAGGCCTGAAGAGGCCTGGGCTGGCTGGCTGCCACACCGCAGGGGGCAGATCTCGCTGGAAGGCCACATGGACTCATCTAGAAGCAGGGTGATATTTGAAGCTTCAGACCTTCCAGATAGCCTGGCTTACCTTGCCTGTGACATTCTGCAAGATGTCCTATGTCATCTTGATGAAAATATTCATAACATGATGTGCCTAGAAGTTCTTGTGGTAAATATGCCAAAATAGCTGTTGCCCTAAAAGAGAATAAGAGAACTTTTAAAGAAGAGAAAGCCATTCAGACAATTAACAGCAACTTTGCAGATGAGGAATCTGCTACAGCCTATATGAGCAAGGTCAAAGCTGAAGGCAAAAGGCCAGATGGGTTTTCAGACAGCTTACTATGTGGGTCTATTTTTCTGGGCTTTCTGAATTTAATCAAGGCTATGAAAACAGAAAAACAAGCTTTTCAAAGGGACTATCATCATAAATCAGTTTTAGGAGGTTTTAAAATGGCAACTGTATATTAGGTAGAAACGTGGTAGAAATGTAAACCCCAGTGCAAAGCCTCTCCTTTCCACTGCCTACTTTCACCAGGAAACCAAGCTTTAGCATCTGGAGCCATGTGGCCTTCAGAAGTGGCTTTCTCTTTTTTTCTAGTACTTTCTGGCTATCTCTACTAGCCAGAAAAATCATTAACCTATGAATATTCATAAAAAAGGTAGCAAGCAACAGTAAATTTGGGACATTGAGTTCTTAGCCCTGGTTACCAATTACTATGAATCCAGCAGGAGGCCTGTCCCCAGGCTGGGCCTCAGGTCTTTCTTCATCTGTGAAATGAAGAGGCTGGACTAGATCAGAGTTATCCAACAGAACTTTCTGTAGTGACAGAAATGTTCTATGTGCCATTAGCCAGATGTAGCCATCTGGTGCTTAAAATGTGGCTTCTGCCCCTAAAGAACTGAAATTTTTATTTTAACTGATCAAATTCAAATTTAAATAGCCATACGAGGCTACCATAGCCAATGACTACTGTCATGGACACCTCCAGACTAAATAATTGTCCCCGAGGCTTATATGCCAATCAAGGTAGCATTTCACAGATTTAAGATAGTATGTCTGCTCTATCCTTTCAGCCATGGACATCAAACCACCCCAATTAGCAATCTTTTTTTTTTTTTTTTCCAGCATTGGGGATTGAACCAGGGCCTTCATATTGAGCTATATCTCCAGCCCTTTAAAAAAAAAAATGTTTTTTAAAATTTTGAGACAGGGCCTTACTATGTCACTAAGTTGCTCAGGCTGGGCTTGACCTTATGATTTCTTTTTTTTTCTTTTGGTACCGGGGATCGAACTCGGGTCCTTGTGCTTGCAAAGCAGGCGGCGAAACCACTGAGCTAAATCCCTGGCCCCTTGACCTTACGATTCTAATGCCTCAGCCTCAGGCTACTGGGATTACAGGCACGTGCCATCAGCCTGGTTTTAACTCTCTTTATATACTAAAGAACAACGCAGAAAAAAACCCTCTGTATTTATGAGAATACCTAACGAGTCTCATCTTTAGCAGAGGTACTCATCCTTCCCTCTCTTCCTTTATTCTTAGAAAAGCCAGCTGACAGCCCAGTCTTCTCTGCTTTTCAACTCAGCGCTAAAATCTACTGTCACTGCACAGGGGAAACATGCAGAGTCTTACCTCTGGTCTACAAAAACAAACTTCCCATCTATTGCGTGCCGAGAAACATATTCCATAGCTTTCACCCTGATTTCCCCGTTCACTGGTTGTGGAACCACGTGAGAATGCAGCCGTCCAATGGCAACAAGGCAGCTGAGGTTACACCCCTCATTGTCTGGTTCATTGTCTTCATCCAGCCCCATCTTTGTGGGGGGCCAGCTTTTCAAATAGCCTGTGCTGTGGATTGTGCAGAAGCTTTTTCGATCTGCTAGAAAGCAAAGTCCATAGTTAGTGTCAGTGCTGGGCCAGCCGATGGTGGGATAGAATATAGGTAGTGAGTCAAAAAATTTCAAAAACCAAGATTTCATCTCTAGAGGTGAGCGTCTGGTGAATGGGCCAGACAGAAATAGACAACGCTCATCCAGTGTCACATATCCTTAGCAGAGCCAGGTACACCAAGGACACTGCTCACACCAAGGAAGAAATCCACCTGGGGAGAAGCCCCCAGAAAATCAAACATAGGAGACTAACCAAGAAGGCTTGAGCAGTGGCTCAGGGACAGTATGTAAAGGTAGTGGATGTACAAGGGCACAGGGGCATGTCCGCTACAAGAAACAGCAAAGAGCTCTTGGAGCTGGAGTGAAAAGGAAGGTTCTGAGGGGGCAGAGTTGGAAAGGCAGGTTGAGGTCAGATTATAAGGGCCGTGGGTTATTTGTGTTTCCCTCACACACACACCAGATAGGAAGTGGAGAGCATCCAAAAGCGGTCAAGTGGGAAACAGTAAACTCGAATCATGCAGCAGAGTGGGGAGAGTTGGTGAACTGGAGAGAGTAGGAACTAGAAGTAAGAAGGCTGGTTCATGAGCCAGTGGTAACAACAGAGCAAGAGACAATGAAAACCGAATGATGGCAGAGAGGGGCAGTGGGTGAGGAAGCAGGAAAAATGTCTGAGCAATGTTAAGAATTAGTATAAATACCATGCACGAAGGAGAGAAAGACAATAAGGATGGCCCCAACTTTCCTGGACTGGATAGTTTCTGTTGTCATTCACTGATTCAAGGAAGAGAGACAGGGAGGGGAAAGATTTCAATTCGGGGCAGGTGTAGTATGGAGCATCTGTGGACTTCAATACCCAACAAACTGTACGGAGTGTTCACCAGGCTATCGGAATACAGCGGGAAACAAATCAGACATGCCTGGGTGGAGATCACAGGAAGTCAAGAAGGCAGACTGAAAACAAATGATCACACAAATAACTCCAGAATGACACTATGAGAAACCCTGGAAGGAGAGCCTTCAGGGTGCCACAGGAGGACACAAGGGAGTCTGAGGCTGGAGCAAGAAAGGAGGGGGAAGAAACTGCCATCAGAGGTGATGGCGGTGTCACTGTGAAAGGGAGTCTCATGACTTGGATATAATGAGTAGTGACAGGCACAGGACCGTGTGGTCATGTTAAGTATTCCGAACTTTTCTTCAAGAGAAATGGGGAACAAAGGTTGTAAATGGGATGGATAAAAAGATCTGCCTTAAAATAGATCATTTTGGTAGCTGTGTGGAGGGGTGGAAAGCCACATGGTGCCAACTTTGCCAGAGCTATGCAGAGCTGAGGGTAGCCTGGATCCGAGTGACAGTGGTGAGTTTGGAGACAACGTCCCCAGATGGGACTGGCTGCTGCGACAGGACCTAGTAACTAGTGAGGGGTGAATGGTGAGGGAGCTAAGGGTGCCTCAGGGGCCTTCAGCTGGGGTGAACAGCTGGCTGCATGGTCGTACCACTGACACTATGGAGGAGTCCGGCGGCCACACTGGCATGTAGCATGTGAGATCCCCTTAAGATATAGCCAAGCAGGGAGAGTTGCTAGGTAGTATACATCTAGGGTTCAAAAGAGGCCTTGGCTAGAAATGTAACCTTGGAAATTATTGGCATATAAATGGCATTTAAAGCTATAGGAGTGGGTGACATTGCCTATGGATCAGTGTAATTAAAAGAGAGAGACCCCAGGCAGAGGGGAAGAGCCACTAAAGGCACCAGAGAAAGGCTGGAATGGCAAAGGACAGGGGAGATGAGAAGAACGAGGTTTTGTGGAATGCTAGGGATGAGAACACTGCAAGGAGGACTGGTGGGAAATGTCCATTACGTCTGGCAGCATGAAGGTCACTGGCAAAGCTGGTGAGTGATTGTGGTGGGTGATCAGGAGGTAGTCAGAATTGGGGCTGACGGTAATCTTTCCCAACCACATAAGATAAACAGAATTTAAACAGAGGGAGCCTATCCACAAACCTCCATCACCATGAGAACATGCGAGGGCTAGCATTAGGGGGGTAGCAGGGCCCTAACTGCAGCCCTGCGACCTGCGCTCTGGCCAGCTAGGAACCGCTGACTGCTCTCTGCTGAGACCTCCCCTGCAGAAAGGATTTTAAAGAACTGTGAAAGTGTACCTTTTTTCTTTGAGCAGGTGGAGGGGAAGTCCTTGTCTTCCACCTTTACTGAAGGCCTGTTACACTTCATCCTACAGAAGAAAGAACGTCGTGCTCCAGAACATAATCGAGACGGCCCAGGGGTTATATCTGTTTTAACTGGAAGTCCAGCTGCAAATCAACACACAAAATGTGATGACTGAGAGCAGTGTTGTCTGGCAGGAGGGGGGAGTGTGACCTTGAACAAAGTCTTTTTCTTCACCGTCTCACTGTTTTATAACCATGATGTCGAGCATAACATTTCTCTCCAGCTTAGATCTCAAAAGATACACTAAGGATCGATGTGCTGTTGGTTGGGAAATGTTTATAGATCATGTAGAAAGTGCCGCTGCAAAAATGGCTTGGGTGCTGTGGGGAATAAGAAGAAATATAGCACAGCATTCTTGTCCAACAGAAGCTTGTGAATGAGAAAGGGAAAAGGAAGCACATGGAGAAAAGATTAATATAACAGGGTGATGTGTCATTAGTGCCAGATAAATGGCAAAGACAACCTGTGCTTCCCAGGGGAAGAACTTGGGCTGGTACTTGAAGGATGGGTAAGATGTGGATACTGGAACAAGAGGAAGTGAGATTGTTTTGTTTCGTTTTGTTGGGGTTTTTTGGTACTGGGGATCAAACTCGGGTCCTTGCGCTTGTGAGGCAAGCGGCGGAACCACTGAGCTAAATCCCCCGATTGTTTTAAATTCTCAACCTGGCTGTAGGCCAGAGTCCCTTGTGTACTTTATCAACTCACAGATTCTTGGACCCCATTCTACACCAGTGTTAACCCATCCATCACTGTTAGCTGCATACAGCTAGTGAGCACTTGAATGTGGCTTTTCTGAATTGAGATGTGCTGTAAGTATGAAATACACAGAGGATTTCAAAGACAGTACCAAAAAATGTAAAATAACTTACTAATATTTTATAATTACTACATGTCAACATAATATTCAGGACTTACTGGGTTAGATAAAATACAGGCATTCCTCATTTAATGACCAAGTTACATCCTGCAACTTGGTTGTTTGCTAAATGAGGAACTGTACATTACATGTACAACTGCACGTACATTACAATATTCAGAACAAAGAATTGGCCAAAGGAAACTCCAAATTGATGACTTTGTTTTTATTTGCATTATTCTTATAATACTGTGATGTATAACATAAAACTACAGTACTGTACTATACAGTACAATTGACAAAAATTACAGAACTGTATAAATGAGGTGTACTGTTCAAAAACTGGACACTGAGGCTCTAAAAACAAGATGTACAAAGCTGTACAAAAAAAAGACATCATAAATCTAAAGACTGGGTCCTAAGTCTGAATAGTCATTAAGCAGGTAGGAGGTGGTTCAACGAGCAATTCTGTGTAACATTAAAATTATTTTTACTTTTTAAAATGTGGCTAGCAGAAAATGTAAAATCACACATGGCTCGTGTTTGTGGTTTGCATTTTGTTTCCACTGGGTGGGGCTGTTCCAGCCCAGCTGAATGTACTCTCAGAGGGCAGCAGGGCTATGCTGGAAACTCCCTGGGGGGGTTGATGTGCATGGCTCCTGACAGTACCAAGCTGGGGGCTTCAGATCACATGGGCTGGGAGGAGCACCCCACAGTGATCGAAGGAGCAGGGCTCCCTCAGGCTTTCTCTCCTGGGACCTGCCTCCCACACCACCCCTCTACAAGCCTCCGCACAACACCAGTCCCAGCCTGCCTGGCCCACACAGCTCAGAGCCCTCCCAGTGTCCCGCTCCCTGCACGCTGTGCTCCAGCAGCACCAAGCAGATCTCTAGGCTCTGCACATCTGAACCCGTCCACAGATCATTTCCTCTGTTCTTTTCCTCCCTTCCTCACCTGGCAAACATTAATCCACCTTTTCAAACCCACCTCGACTGTCATCTACTTGGTGATGCCTGTCCTTGCACCCACACGAGAATGAATCATCCCCTTCTCCGTGCTGCTGCTATTTCTCTGGCTGTGCCTATGGTACTGGGTCCTGTCCCTGATCGCATGGTTAGGGCCTCAAAGGCAAATGCCAAACACACAACTTCATTCATCTTTTTCTCCATAGGCCTATATAGTACCTATAGTACCAGGGCCTATATTTTACTTATAGGGAAAAAATAAGTGCCTTAATGAAAAGGATATTTTATTTTTAAATTTATTTACTTTTGAGACAGGGTCTCATTATATAGCTCAGGTTGGCCTTGAACTCACTATGTAGCCCACGCTAGCCTCAAACTCACAGTGATCCTCCTGCCTCAGTCTGGTGAGTGCTGGGATTATAGGCATGCGCCATCACACCTTACTTCAAAAGGACATTTTAAAAGAGATGTTCTGATGGCATTTCCCTCAAGGATTGAAATGAAATGTTTGGAAGCAGGAAACTAGTTAGGCCGTGGCCACACTGGGCTTAGGTAAATACAAGACTGATATACTTGCTATGGGCAGGGAATTATCTTGCATTGTTTATGTAGTATATTAACATTTAATTCTTAAAACAACTCAGTAAAATAGGTACTATTTTGCAGATAAGGAAATTGAGGCACAGAGAGGTTAAATAACTTGTTGAAAGCCACACAGCTAGTGGGTGGTCGAGCCAGGGTGTGTGCCTGGCAGTCAGCCTTCAGAGTCTGTGCTCTCAACTGCGGAAGTACACAGAGTGCCCTATGGGGCCCTGCACGGGACACACAGGACGGGGTGCAGGGCCAGGAAGCCAGGGGCCCATGTGAATGGTGGTTCCAGGGCTGCAGGAAGGAAGCCAGGAGCAGAGCCAATCTAGTCAGAACCAGTTGGTCAAAGAAACAGCACATTTCCAGCTTAAGTTTTCTTACTGCTCTCTTCTGAGACTGCACGTGTGCAGCTCTGATCGACAGAGGCATGTGTTCTGAGAGGGCCAATCAACTGGGGTGTGAGCCCCAGGAACTTGGGAGCATACAAGTGGGAACTTCTAGAGTCTGAAAAAAAAAGTAACTACAAATCAGAAAGAATCAAGTCGAAGGAGCTCTACTTCCAGTGCTTTTAGACACTGAACTCTTTTCTTCTTTATGTGAAACCAACAAAAGCCCTGAAGAATAGGAATCATTCTATTTAGCGACAGATAGCATTTGTGACCAAGAGAAAGGGCAGTGAGGTGAGCAGGGAGAGGCTGAGACCATCACACACAGCCCTGCCTGTGCTGTGGGCGCTGGGCGGGGTGGCCCAGCAGGCTGCCAAGTGACACCGTTCTTCTCCTGCCCCGTACTCACTTTTTGCATCTATGAGCCGCTCCCGGGGTGCGGTGTCGGAGGAGGAGAGCTGCTCCTTGACTTTGGCGATATCTTTAGGATGCAGGTAATCAAACAAACTCTGACCAATCAGATCATTCTGTGGGGATGAGATGTTTAAAATGACAAGTCAACCTCACACGAATGACGCAACAAGTGCTCAGTCTGTACATCCTTTGCCTTGATGTTATTTATTTACTGCTGTACCAGGGATGGAACCCAGGGCTGCCTACAACCTCGGCAAGCAACGTACCACTGAGCACCCCCATCCCCTACTTTGTATTTTTAAGCATAAAAATCTCTAATGTTTCATATATGATCCTGTTCACGTGTCCAGCCCTTTGCTTATAAGATGCAATAAAGGAGGCATCAGGAGGGTGATTTTGATAACGGATGAGGAGAAAGTTTCAATTATATACAGTTCACCCTCTAAAGCAAGAAACTTCTGATGATACATATTTTTTTTAACTTCTTTCTGATGCCCACAAGTTCCCCACAAGGCCCAGGAGGGAGAGAAACTGACTCGAGCTCTGCTATTAAGCCTGGCCTTTCTTTGAGTCCTGTCACTGTGTGCTTCAGCTGCCTCATCTGTTCACAGAGATCATAAAACTTCTGAGACTGAAAAAAGTAAAATATTTCAGAAAGAAAAAAAATTGTATTAATACTCACTTATATAAATGCCATTTTGACTCAACTCTGCTTACCAAACTTCCATGCAAATACCCATGTGCGAATGAATGAATAAAAAATTCTGGGGACATAGTAGGCAAAAAGCTTGGTTCTAGAAGCTTTCATATGTTACTCTTACTGGACCCCCAATCAGTCATGTAAGGAGTGGACCAGGACCGAGCATGAGGAAAGGAAGCCGAGGGTCGGCAGTCTCACACCACTGCAAACACAGTATGGTCTGGGTTTCCCCGAGACTTACTCTCTGCTCTCCCTTCTCTCTCGTCAGGTACCTTCACTCCCCGTCCCAAGCCCCAGCGGTAGAATATTTATTTTGCAGTAGTAAGAAAGCTACACAGTTGTTGATCAGATCAGAGTCAGACTTTCCAGTGCGGGAAATACAGAGCATAGGAAAGACTCTCCTAAGTTTACATTCATTTCTCTGTTAATAAGCTAAGAATTTTCCGGAAGGAGAATTTCACATGTGACAAATATGCTTGAGTATTCTGAAGTGCTGTGAGGCTGCTCACACCCAGCAGGAGCACGAACAGCAGAACAGTACCTGGCTGTAGTTGAGGATCTTGAAGACAGACTCTGAGACAAAGAGTATCTTCCCTCGGTCACATCCTACGACAAACAAAAATCCATCTGCTGCCTAATCGGGAGAGATGGATAATCAATTTATCACACTGTAGGACACAGGATTTGTGCTCACTCTGACAGTAAATCAAGGATTTGTTTGCAAAGTTTCCAAAGCATGGGAATGCTCACTGATAACTTCACTAGTACCCTAAGACCAGATGCTTTATGAGAATAATAAGACTCTTTCTGAAGGGATACACATATCTGTATATCATCTAATGGTTTAGGGAAAAGTCCAGGAAAGTAAGTTCTGCAAAACGAAACCCACTGGTCTGTATAATGTGCGCTAATAAAAAAATTAAGTTTTGTTTCAAAACAAAATTCAGCTTAAAATGTGTCTTTTGATTTCATGAAGGCCCCGAGAACCCACATTTCGTTCTCTAATTATAGCAGTTCTACGGAGAACCACAGAGTCTGAGATCGGCAGGACCTTTGCAGATGAGAATCCCCTCTGCAACATCTCAGCCAACATCTGCCCTCCACTCAAATACCTTCCCCTACAGGTGAACTGTGGTTTCAACCTCTGGAGTGGCGTTTCTGTTTTCATTTCTATGCTGAAGCTCTGGGTGGGGCTGGACCACCGGCATGGTTTTAACCCCATCCCAACACGATTCACATGTAACAGGGTTGGGAAATACTGCTCTCAAATATCCCTCCTTCCAGCTATCTGCATTCTAGGTAAGATAAGAAAAGAAAAAGCTTCCCATCAGATTCTTCTTACCCATTCTTTTGCTTAAATAAAGGTAAAAATCTAAAATGCCAACAGAGACATTTGGAAAAGAAACTGAAGTAGGCAGATACAAAGTTACAGCGCCCAAGAGCTGAGGCTGTTCTGTCCATGTACACATGAAATCCCACAGTGGATGGCCGCTCAGCTCTGCCTTCCTCTGACAGGGAGGATGTCTCCCAACTGTCTCACAGTTGCTCTACTGACTCTGCTTCCCTGGTTCTAACACACGGAGTGGCCATTGCTTCCACTTGTTTGCTGGAAAAATCTAGAGAATCTGTTTTCCACCAAAGGACCTTTGGGATGTAGTTGAATTCAAAGAACCAGAAAAGGAATTCATGCCCTGAATGGTGGAGGAATAACGTGTGCACCTCTGCTGGGACAGCAGTGAGGGAGAAGGGAACAGAATCACTGCTGCCCTGAGAACCTGGCAGACCACCTTGTCAGGACCTGGGGTGGGAGGTCCTTGCCTAAGTCAGGTCCCTCAGCTGGCCCAGGGGCAAGGATGACAGTGAGGAGGAAGTAACTTTCCAAGCACCATCTGCTAGAAGCCTCATTCTGTCAAAAACCAGGGTATTAATAACTTCCTCGTTTGCCTTGCAGACAGTGTCATGCATCACAAGAGAAGCGTCCCGGGCTTTTCTCTGATGTGGCTGGCTCAAAAGGTGCTACCGTGACATCCCAGTGGGAATGCTGCACAGAGTCAGGCCTGAACTGACAGAGCAAAGCGGGGTACAACACATCCAGGGACAGCCAGGGGCTGGCAGGCCTCGCATGATGGTCAGAGCAAGGAGGCTCTGACTGCCCCACTGGGCTCAGGAAATCGAGCCACCAGGCGAAGGAGTGGGTGTGGGGAACCAGCTGAGGAGCAGAGGCTGTGAGAACACTGTGAGCACCTGGGGCCACAGCAACGCCAAGGCCAGGCTCCCTCCTGGGGCAGAGGGTCCTGGGGAGTAAGCGACACAAAAGCCCTGGTGGGGGAGGTCTACTTTTCTTTAGTTTACTTTGAGACAGGGTCTTGCTAAATTGCCCACACTGGTCTCAAACCGGATCTTCCTGCCTCAGCCCTCCCTCCCCACACTAGCTGGGATTACAGGTGTGCACACCACTCCCAGCTACAAAACTATTTACCCATCAGGTCTGTGTTCCTTGATGTCTCACAGAACATGGAGAGAGAGTACTGGAGCAAGCTCACAGGCCAGACTTACAGAGCGCCTGAGGCCAGGGTGAGCTGGAAAGGAGAGTGAGGATGCCAAGATCCAGCTGGACCACCCCGCTTTCCTTTTTTCTGCAGACTTCTGCAGGAAGACAGAGACTGAGATGCCACAGGGGCGGTCTGGAAGGAGGGGCCAGGCACCCTTCCTTTTAAATACATTTCTCTATTTTTCATTTTACAGTGTATAAGAGGACAGATTTCTGAAGTCAGTTTCTTTCCCGTCAGTTTCCAAGTTAATCCCATTCTCTCCAGCAGCACTGCTCGAGCCTTGTGCAGATCTAATCCTGCATGGGAGCCAAGTTCACAGTGCCACCTGGACTATCTCTCTGCAGAGGCTTAGCAAGACAGACAGAGTACCAGAGTCAGGCAGGCGAAAGCACACACCCTTCCATTTATTTCCCTCTGGCAGCTTTATTGTTTTGATGGATTCTGGTGTAAGGATTTAGGTGGATTTTTCTGTGTTGGTGGCTAAGTAAGGAGAACAGTTCTTAATTACTGTCAGTTCTAGTCCCTTTCTAAAATGTTCGTGCAGGAATGTGATTCTTAACTCTCTCCTATTTCTAACAAAATCCTGCCTCTTTGGACTTAAAATCATAGTAGCATAGGCCTTTCATGTTTGCCTAAGCAGGGTTATAAGAAAGGTACAGGTGGAGACCAAGAAAGGAAGTGGGCCTAAAGAAGAGAGCAGGTGTTACAACACCAAATCCCCACGTGCTGGTACCTACTCTGAAATTTATTGAAAAACCAATGTTGTGTAAAATAATCTCATAATTGCAACTTACCCTGAGAATGAGGTGTTTCAATTCATCGTCTGATAGAAAAGTTGGCTTGTAGTTTGCTTCTGTGTACGGGTTAGTGGCACCTTAGAGGGGAAAAAAGAGAAAGAGTTGGTACAGTTCCATTCAGACAACATCTCATCCTACTTCACTGCCTCAAACCTGGAGGGGGCCAAGACCTAGCACGTAGGATTTATACTTCATCTTTTTTCCCGTCAGTGAGACTGGGCTAGAGCTGACTTTTGGACAGAACCCTGTCAAGCCAAAGAGAATTCCACTGGAAAGAAAACACTTCTGCCCACAGGAGACTTAACAAGCTTGCTTTTCTTATTATTGGGAAACAAAGGGATGATAGAAGGAAGTTAAAAATCTGCTTTTCAGAAAGAAGGCAGCTCTAGAAGCAAATGGAAGTTGCTCCTGGGACACTTCTTGCCTTCCAAGGTCAATATTAAATGCACAGTCCATCAAATCTCTACTCTTGGGAAATCATCCAATCACCAGGCCCCAAGTAAACACTTTGCAGAAGGCAGTTAGCACACATTCCCCTACACGAGGGTGAGTGAGCTTGCAGCCTCAGAGGAATGCACGCTCCAGTCAGTGCAGCTGGAGCTCCCAGGCCCTGAAAGGGACAAGGACTGTACTTAAAAAGTCTGTCAATCTGGCATTTTTTTTAGAACAATAACTTCACTGACAAAAATGCCAGCAGTAGATGATACTGGAGTCTGCAGAATAGTGAAGGATTAAAATGAAGTAGATCTATAACAATTCAATGGGGAAGGATATGTTTGTGACTTTCACGTTATTATTCCACATCCTCGCTTTCTATTATACCTTGAGATTGTCCACTTTCTCTTTTCAATTTAATTAAAATTAGTTTATGATAACTTAACAACCTGAATCATCTTCACTAAGATAAAATTTTAAATGTTACTTTTTTTTTTTGGTACTGGGAATTGAGCTCAGGTCCTTGTGCTTGCAAGGCAAGCAGCGGAACCACTGAGCTAAATCCCCAGGGCCCCTAAATGTTATTCTTTAAGCATAAGATACAACATTTATATTTTTGAATAATGATGAAAAGTCATAAAAAAGCCAACTGCTTATTTCGGGTGGCATCATGCAGATATAAAAATGGGACTCTTTCACCACACAGGTCAGCTCTGACTGAGCACCCACTTCCACTTTCATCCAATACTCTGAGACAAGTGACGGAAAATTCCAGGAACAGCATTCACTGAAATGCCTGATGTATTTCAGATTTCTCCTATGACCTGGATAAGTCACTTCCACTTTTCTGCCTCTGTTTTCTCACCCTCCCCACACTTAGCAAAGAAGGAAAATACTGCCTCCCTCACAAAGAGTCAATCTAGTTCGGGAAAATTCCAGGAAGATGAAAATATCACCAGTGTTCGCTCCTGACAATGTAACGCAGGAGCTATCTATCAGCCAGTGACTCATTCTTCAGAGGAACCTTGATAAATTTTGTATCTTAAGAACTGAAACTGACTTTTCTGCCTCAGTCACCATGTGCACCTAATTTCTGATTTCTGTAACTGTACCAGTGGACTCTAGGCACAGGCGAGGTGCGAATCAGCCACGTCTTCTGTGATATGCAAGTAGCTGACATATGTGTGCATACAGAAATATGCAAAACTCATAGTTTTTATGCTCTGGGATGTATGACTGCAAAACTACCTCAATACCCACAGAAGGTCAATAATCACTTCATTTGGCATTACAGCTGTTTTTGAAAAGCACATGCATATGATTCAGGGCTACATACTTGGAAGCAGTCAGCATTTGCTTTAGGGACCCAAACATTTGTAGGCAAGGACAGAAAGGACAGTAAAGCCCAGAATCTCACCTCTTAATGTTTTCATGTGCTGAACAGCCATTCTTAACACGGTGAGTTTATCTAACTTCCTGGACATCGCGTTGCATGTTGGTACCAAAGAAGCCAGCTCATCAATAAAACTGTTCATCTTATCCCTGCGCCGCTTTTCAATCTGACTGTGAGCTTCCCTGAACAACAGTATGAAAAATGACTTCTTAAAAAAGAAAGCAAACATTAAGGAAACGATGACAAAAATAAATACATTGTAGCTGTCATCTGAAAAGACAAATTTAGAATTTGCAGAATGTTTCAGATTAGACTTTTCTAGTGGGCACACCACAATCAGGTAAGATTTAGCTTTTATTAATGCTTACCTCATTAAGGAAACAATTACAAAAACTACCTTTTCACAGTAAATTGAATGGTTAATTTATCTATCATTGGTTTTCCTCAGCTTCTATAGAATTGGATTTGCAATGGGGGAGGGAAGAGGGAGGGGGAAGATGGACGTTTCCCAAAGCCAAGTATCCAGAACAGCCAGGGAAGTGCCCTGGGTCACACAGGGGGTGCCTGTGAGGTCCGTGGGGAGCTGGCTGTGTGGCTGTGGAGGGCACCATTCTTTGCAGTCAGAGATACATTGCCTGAGGTGCCTGGTACTAACGGTGCCATCCTTGGGTCAATCCGGACCCACCTAGATGCAGCACATGCTACCTTTGTCCCCACGCTTCCTCTGAGGGCTGCAATGCTCCTCTCTCCTAGGCAGGATGACAGTCCCCTGCACAGCCTCTCCCTGGCTGATGTGCACCTGCCTTAGGTGGGAGGTGCTGCCAGCAGAGCTATAGCGCCATGGGACCTCCCACACAGGCTGGTCTTCGGGCAAGGGAAACACTAGGTGTCTTAGGTCCCCTGGTTTCTGTGCGTCATGACATAGCTCAGACAGACCTAGTACTAATGCAGGGAAGCCTGAGGACCCAGCAGGAAGGGGGTCAGTGAGTGCGGCCGCAGGAGGAAGGACCAACTTAGAGGACCTCAGGCAGGAGGGCGTGCCCCTGGCCTGGCCTTCAGATGCTACCTGCAGTGTAAGAAGGGGTCCTGTCAGAGACGAGGCACAGCCACAGAGAGGGTCGCTGTCACTGAGCCTTGTCTGCTCTGGAGGGCCTTTGAGTCAGGAGGGAGGAATCTGCTGAAGACCTGGCAAACTTTAGCTTCAACCGATTTTCTGCCAAAGTCTCCTTTAGGTTAATTATATTGAGGTGGCAATGAGTGAAGGCCAGCTCAGCCTGGAAGGAGCAGGGAGCAAAGGATACTTCAAGCCAAGTCCCAGCACCTCCTCCCCCGTTCCTTAAGGATGTGACGGTGCCCAAATGCTTCAACAGACAGGGACCAACACACAGAGCCGCCTCAGCTGCCATCTAACCAGCAAGAGCTAGGAGTCTATAGACAAAACAAAGGTCCAAATTTACCTTGCATTTTTTATCCTTCCTTGGTGTTCTGTGTATTCCAACCTGGAAAACAAACAAAAAGCAAAAGATAAAAATGCAATCCTCTGGACACAAATGGTAAAATTCCACATTTCTGTTTTCTTCCTGCCAGATCCCTGTCACCTCTCCACAGACACACAAGGTTGTTAGCCACACTGGGACTGGGGTGGAGGGAGAGAATTTTGAGGCCAAGGCTCGTGGCCTGCTTGCTCATCTCCAATGGAGACACGAGTGGAACATGCCCCAAGTAACAGAATGTGTCATCGTGCAAAGAAAGCGGCTCTAAGGGTGCTGAACTTCAAATGACTAGGGTCATGGTACCTTCCATGAGGGTCATCTTTGTCTGTGTCCATGCTTTCTCTGCAAAAACAAGAGAATGTGGCTGCATGTTAGTAAAGACGCACAGAGTGGCTCGCATTTATCCAGAAACTCAGCAATTAGAGAGCTCAAGTAGCCATAGGGCAGATTAATGACTTATCATAGTAATACAAAGGAAGACAAGCTGAAGCTACTATAAAATGTGGGCTGGCTTTCCACATTATCAAGCAAAAGTCATATAGAGTCTCAATAGAGTTTGTGTGTTCAATATATTTCCCATATTATTTGAAAACTGGGAATACATAGCATTTATGGAAACTTAGTTAAGCAGAGTATCCACATATACATAACACTGCATTCCCCAGTCGTTCTGGATAAATGGAGCTTATTCCATATGCAAACCAGATCAAGCATCAAAGATATGTGCGCTCATCTATCAATTTCGGGGTCGGGGAGGTGATGAAAGCACCAACAGAGCAGCACAGAGCAGAGCCCAGGCTGAGTTTCAGAGGCACTGCTACCAGAGGTTCTGCTTCTTGACCAGGTGGGCTCCCCTGGGCTTGAGGACCTGGGATAGAGGGGAGTGTGGGACCAAGGACTGCAGAGGGTGCTGGGCTCACAGCAGGGATCCACCTCCCTTTCACAGATCCCAGAAACCCAAGTTTCAGGGCATCTTGTGGCTCAATTAAAAACAGACTGCATGCCCCGGAGGAAGGAGTTCCAGACTCCCCTGATGGGGGTGGGGGGTGGGGTGTCCATTCATCCCTTCTCGAACCCACAGATTTCTCAAGAGAGCACTGACTGCCACCTGGGCTTCGCTCCTTTCTCTTTTCTTTCTCCCGTTAAAAAGGAGGGTGATGGCCCTACACATTAGAGCTGTCCCAAGAGTGCTGGATCACAGCAAGGCCATATTCTCAACAGTGCTTCCCAGCTAGGTCCCTGGGTTCCTGCAGAGGCAGTTTCTTCAGAAGAGCCCAGAGAAAACCATCCAGGCTGCAGGGAAAACACACCCTGCACCCTTCCATCTGGAATCGTGTCTGCTGGTGAGGCCAGGCTGGCCTTCACAGGTGAGAAGCTTGTGGTGACAAGGCTGGAAAACATAGGTCTAGCTGACAGAGTCTTAGAACACACCAGTGGCTCTGTCAGCACTGCTCGAGACAATGGGCTCCCGAGAAACGTCCTGGACTCTGCTGGGGAGTTAGCGCTATGGAAGGAAGAACCCGTCGGTCCTCACACCCACTCTCCGTCCCCTGCGCGTGGCTCTCTCAGTGATCTGGGATAACTTACATATTAATCATAGCATCTCCTAGTGGGCATCTGACCTCCAGCCAGTGTGCTCCCCAAATTCGACCTGTGAACTTCAGCAGAAAGGACATCTGCTGTAGGGGGGTTACCTCCTTGGAGATTTTCCCTCATTAAACAACAGAAAACCTCACAAATGGACATATGGGTACGATCCCACACAGATGCCTCGCAAAATGAAATGTGCCTTCGAATGTGCTACACTGCCTTCCTCCCTAGGTGCTGGACAGAGGCAGAGGGTGGGCAGTGAGTAGGGGAATTTACTTACTCAAAAGAAAATTCATCAAGTTTGTTTTTAAAAAGAAACAAAAATACTCTTTAACATAATAGGTACACACTAATTTAAATAATGTTTAAGGACAATGTCAATATCCCTGTGCTCTTGCTCGTCCATTCCACACACAGGAAGGGTGGCCCCATCCCTGCTGTCTTCCTCAGAGAGCCCTCAAGAGTGCTGAGGTCACATCTACAGACTCAGTCCTCTTGCTCACAGGAGTGGAGGAGAGGGGTAAAGGCAGAACTTGGCTTTAAGGCTGTAGACAGACGTGGGGACTGGAAGGGACACAGAGGCCTGGGGGCTCCCTCCTCAATTGCAATCCAGTGGGAGATAAAGCCCTAACCAACTGCACAGCACCGAGAGCTGAACCTTTCCTTCCCATCCCCTCTTCCAGGAAAAGTGGTGGCCGGCCCCGGAGTTCCACACCCATCTGCAAGCTGCAAGGACCTTACTGGTAGTCGGTGGAGCTGCCCTTCCGCTTGCGGTTGCAATCCACGCTGCCGGCGCCCAGGGAGCTGGAGAGCAGGTCAGTGGGGCCGGAGGACATGAAGTCACTGATCGTGGAGGAAATGTCCATTCTCTGGTCTGCCATTGGAAGCTCTGGAATGGCGATGGGGACATTTATTTCACTGTGGTGGTCTAAGGTGAGTTTCCGACACTAACATCTCTTACCCAGCCAGCCTAGAAAAAGCACACGGCAGAGTGGAAAGAGAATCCTGCTTATTTTTGGAGGTTTTGGAGCTAATCTAGGCCCACCTGCTTATTTTCTTGGAGAAGACACAAAAGTCCAGAGAACCCGAGTGGCTTCTCCTGTGTCCCAGGCTGGGCCTGGAAGAACGAATCCAGACTCCGAGCCGCTAGGAGGCAACCCAGGGTCCCCAGGTTCTCTGGCAATCCTAACTCTCCCCTTCTAACCAACAGATAGATGACCAATGAAATGAACATGATCTACTTTTTTTAATTAAAGAATTATTTAAGACAGGGTCTCGCTCAGTTGCCCTAGCTGGCTTCGAACTTTCAATCCTCCTGCCTCAGCCTCCCGAGCAGCTGGGATTACAAGCATGCACTTCTACTTATTGTGATGTTTGTACTTTGGTTAGGACTTATAGGAAATTGCAGGAAAGCAGAAAATATAAGAAAGTATAAGTCTCCCTCATCATCCTTGGGTACCCCTCTCCCCTTGCATAATGAAACGAAGACACTGTGAACAAACTGGCAAAACATTGAGAATGCATATTTTATGAGCACAAAGTAGGTTGGTCCGAAAAGAGGTTGGTGAGTACCTTGCGAGGGGCTCCAACTCCACACCCAGCTGAAGAGGCCGTGGCCGGCTCGCAGTCAGGGCTCTGAGCTCCAGAGGGTATGACCAGAGCTGTCACTCCCTCCCTCTGGGCCTGAGCTTCCGCATCTGCAAAACAAGCGGTGAGTGTGAGGCAGCACTACTTGCCACTGCCTGATTAGGCCTGCAGGTTACGGGGCCATCCCAGGGCCATCCCTCCTGGGTCGGTGTGGGCCAAGTTCTCCCTCACTCAAGCGCCACTGGAGTGGACAGCTCCATGCACTGGAGCTACTAACTCTTAGAATAAAGTTCTGAGAGCAGGACTGCCGGGCCAAAAGGGGACCCACTGTGTTCTGGAGCACACTGAAACCCTGTGCTCCTGGAAAGCGCTAACATTTCCATCACCAAAGAGCTCTTGCCAGTCTCAAAGCGGGTGAGGAGGACCTCGCTCTGATTACTTGAACTTTTAAACGACTGCTGATGGCGCTTCTATGATTCTAGGCCTTTCTCTGTCCGCCCTTGTGTCTACTTAACTTGTGTCCTGGTTCTCTAGCAGCCCAGGTTCACACCGCAGAGTACTGTAGGAAATCCTTTCCTCCCCGGCCTTGCTTCTCCCACTGTGCCATCAAGGACTTCACACTTTCCCCTCTGTCTCCTCACTTTCAGCACCTTCCTGGTTCCATTCATAGCTGATGACTCTGCTTCCTCTTTTCTTTTCTGCAGTGCTGGGGATGGAACCCAGGGCCTCACCCACACTGGGCAAGCACTCCACCACTGAGCTACAGCCCTGGCCCCTATGACTCTGCTTCTTCATCTGAAGGAAAGAGGCCAGCAGTGACATCACCAGCCCAGGAGAAGTGCCTGCTGAGGCTTCCAACCCCAGTTCCTGCTCAGTCTCCACTGTCTTCTCACCCACCCGAGGCCATCATTCCAGAGCCCTGCCAGGCTCCATCCTGTAACACTCACACTGCCCACATCACTCCCATGAGAATAAAAACATAAATTCTGCAACTCCCACCTTGGAAAAAATTAACGTTCTTGAACACCATCTTCCTCTAGCTAGTGTCTCATTTTCTGTCTCTGGTATTTTTCTCTTCTTGTTTTCTAGTATTTTTCTCTTATACTTCAAATCAGGTTTTGTCCCCATGATTACAACAAAACCCTGCTGGGCTCATGAGTGACCTCCCCCTTGCTAGATCAGCATCCAGCAGACCCCAGGGCTCCCTGGTTGCTGTCTCTTGCCTGGGAGGCCCCTCCTCCTCACGGTTCTCTTTCTACTTCATCGATCACTCCTGGTTCTCCTGAGCTCAAGCCTCCTTTTCTCCCTCGGCTCTAAAGGAGAGCCCCAGGGTTGTGCTGGGACCTCTGTCTCTGTCCATACGCGCTACCTAGGGCCTCTCGCCAGTTTCATTGTTTCATATATTACCCACAGTATGGAAATGCCCAAGTTCATGCCTCCAGCCTGGATGTTCTCTCCCCAAACTCCAGATTCATAAAACCAACCATCTCCTCCTCATCTCCATTTGGATAAGCAGCATGGACCTCAAGCGGAATCACTCATAAGTCAAACCCTGCTTCCCTCAGGCCAAGCTTGTCGGTCACTCCTAGGTCAGTACTCGGTACTTCCATCTTTCTAGTCACCACGCCCCAAAGCCTAAAAGCCACCTGACTCCTTCCTTTCACAACGTGGATCCAGGCAAACCCTACTGGTGCAACATTACAACAACAGAACTCAGCCACTTCCTTCCTTTCCCATCATATTTCTGCCCAAATCTTACTTCCTCGGTGATGTTTCCTTGAGTAGCCATATAATGTGAACCCTGCCAATCCTCCCTAATTAAGGCCCCTGCTCAATTTTTTTTCCTCAAAGCCCTTATCCAAATTTTACCTACAACAATTTCTGTCTTCTATAAGTACCATGAAACCAGGACTGGGTTTTATTGACTGTATGCACCCTTAATGCCTAAATACTTCAAAGAACATGGTGCGTATTCAATCAATAGATGCTGGATTGATGAATAAATGGACATGTTAGGAATACTTTTTGTCCATCACAGATGCTGTGAATACATCTCTCTTTCCCTCTTAACTTTGTTTATGCTACTGGCACGTAGCACTTAAGGTGCCATGTTTTAGAGACCTCTTTCTCAGCCAAATACACACATTCTCCTTTTTACTAATATTTTTATAATTTATTTTTACTTGTAACTTTAATCTACTTGGAAATTATTTTGGTACACTACCTAAGCTTAGGAATTTCTTATTTCCTTCCTTTGGATACACTATTGTCCCAATACCACTTATTAGACCACATATCTATCCTGTTACCAATAATTTGAGATGCTACCTCCATTCATCATCTGTTTCTAGACTTGCTATTCAGTTCCTCTGATATTTCCATTCTGGTACACACTGTTTTTAGGAGTGTGGCTTTAGAATGCATTTGATTATTTAGTAGAACAAACCTTTTTTCCTCCTATTAGTCTTCATTTTCAGCAATTTCCTGGCTGTTCTGTCTGACTCATCCTTCAGGAAACATTTAATGATTACATAACATCACCTACCATGCCAGGTGGCTGCCACTGTTACCATTCTTGCTAACACTCGGAGAAACAGGGCCAGCAATGTGTACAGAGCCAACCCTCCAGGTCTGGTGACTTGTTGAGCCCTGGCCCCACATGCCAGACCTGGGGTGCCACTGGTGTCCTTCACCCCTATTTTTGAACAGCTAAACAAGTGCAAGCTACCAGTGATTGTCAGTTGTGAGGGGATGGTGAGGGTCCTTTCTTACCTGAAGTTATGGTTCTTAGACCTCAGATGCGGCTTGGGAGGAGCAAGGGGCTGCTGGGCCTGTTGGTCACCTCAAAGTGATTCTCATGTTTTGTAATTTCCTCTCAGGTACTCAACTTCTTCCAAAAACCTACAGTGGGGACCAAGGAAAAGAAAATTCAAACAGATCACTCTGGGGGAAATGAATGTGAAATTCTCTTATTCACTGAGGGACGTGGAGAAGCCAGTTCATGACTCCACATTTTGGGGTGCAACGCTGGATGGGCTCACAGTCCCATCCACCACCACGCTCCAGCTGCAGGCATGAAGGAATCTTTGACACATTTTCTGTGGAAAATAATGCCTTCTAAGTGCTAAAAACTCATTTTTGGACATATCCTTAGGAGAAGAAAGGTAAGTGTGCTTTTTATCATTTCTCCTACTGGGTTAAGTAATAACGGTGAACACTGGAGTGTTACTCTGTTACCCACTGTCTTTACTGTTTTATGTGGATTAACTCATTTAAACCTGAGAAAAATTGCTCCAGGAAGTAGATACTATTGTTTTCTCCACTTTACTAGGAGATGACTGAGGCACAGAGAGGAGAAAAAATTAGCCAAAGTCACACAGCTGCAGAGTGGTGGGTGACTGGAAGCTACACCAAAGCTCTTACTCAAGTAGACGCGGTCACTCAACCCAAAGGATCGGTAGCAAAGGAAAATGACGGAAGGCACTAACCCCAAACAAAATGGCAAGAGAGCTAGCACCTGAAAGTGGGAGCCAGCTAAGACAGTCAAAGAAAACGTGAAGCTCAAGTAGTGTATCTGGGCACATGAGAACCGAAGTGCAAAGGGGCTCATGTCAGTCAAGTGGAGGTGCCACTCTGCCCTCCCTTCCTGCCAGGACCAGGGCCTCCTTCCGTACCAGAAAGAACTGATCTAGCAGGAAGAAAAGGGCCTCCCATGGCCCCCTAAACCATCCTTGCTCTGCCTGGGGAAAGCAAGATCTAGATTTTAGATGGGGCTTTCATGACCTCCTGAAGCAAAAATTCTGGCATTTCACATTCCACCAGCAGTCTTTGGAGTATCTCTGTCTAGATCATTATTAGGTCTTCAAAGGAATATCTAGGAATAGAACTGCTTTCATCCTCCCAATTTACTCCTCTGTGCAGTCTGGTGCAGAATCCTTCAGTTTCACTCTGTGAACTCCAGTCTGGGTGTATGCGAACATCATGACCAGGAATTTAGGGTTTCTAATCTCTGAATCTCAGCTGGTGAAGAAGTGACCAATGGACACAAACCCCTTAGGCTTAACTGTTAATTCTTTCTAAACCTGATTCCTGACCAGTTCGCATGCTGCTCTCCCGGCCAGTCGGCCTGCCGGACTCCACCCTGGCTTCCTCCTCCGCCTCCCACACCTGGTGCCCCACATAGGCCTCTGAAAAAAAGGGAGCCAGCACTTCCTTCATCCTCTGTCACCACCTCTCCAGTACCAACCCCTCCCACTGGGGTCAGAGACTGGACACTTTGGTAGCTTCACTGGTCCCCCCCAGACCCTCCAGACAAAATCCCCAACTCCTCAGCAGGAGCCATCACGCTGTGCTCAGTTCCAGTGCAACTCAAAGTCCCAGCCAGACTGAAGGACTGAGGCGCCCTGAGCCCTGCCTCAGCTGGACCAGCTCCCGTCTGAGCATGTGGCCTCCTTTACCACCCTGTCACTGGCGACCTGCTTTCCTCTCCTTTCACCTCCTGCAGAGGCCTCCCCTCCTAAGACCCACTCTCCCTCTCCTGGCCTCCCTCACACCATGGGCCTCCCAGGACTCAGGCTTGTGCCTCAACCAATGAATGTGCTCGTGTCCCTTCCCCTTCTCACTTCCCTGAAACTCACAGGAAGCCTTTACTAAGCTCCTAGTACCAAACTCCAGGTGAGATGTCTTCCTTTGGTCAGTTTCTCCAAGACTCAAATTTAGAGAGAAGTTACAATAATAATATTTACATAGATTTTGAGATCTGTACAAAACATAGCTCAGAAGGCCTTCTTCCTTGCTTAGACAAGGTTAGGAAGCTGAACCGGCTATGACCCATGACAGTTTATGAAAAGCTCTTTTCTTTCCAAGAAGGTATTTTTAAATGTAAGAATAAAGTACCCCCCACCCCAGCTTGTTCTGTGCTAACTACTTCCAAAAAACATTGAGCCAAGGGAGGGCTCCAAGAGGTCTTAGGCACCTTCGGGGGGACCTTTGCTGGTGGGGAGTCTCAGGACCTGCCCTGGTACAGCAGGCAAGTGGCACACGGTGTCAGTCTTGGGAGGGCATGTGCTATGGACCCTGATGCAGGGCCCCATGTACGCCCACTCTTGAGCTGAAGATTGCCAAAGTGGAGGTGAGGGGCTTGCTGGATGCCAGAGAAAGGAGGGTACAAAGGGGCTTGTACACTGTCCCAGAAAGAATGCAGGGCACCCTCTGTCCCACTCCAGCCCCTGCTCCTCGGGGCTCTACCAAAAGGTGCAGGAGGCTACAAGAGAAGCCACAAGCCCAGGCTGCTCCTGCAGAGAAGTCGCAATAGCCAAGAGGACAAGGTGACGGGTCAGCCACTGCCAGGCACCACCAGGAAACATGGCTGCTTTTCGGAACAGGGCAGCTGAGGCCGAACACCACAGCTGAAGAAACCCACCCACCATCTACTGGGAGACAACCACACCCAAGGCCCTAATCCAGACCAGGCGCCTCTTTTTCCTGATCCCTGCTCCAGCAGCCCAGAAGGCTCTAAGAAGCCAAGGGAAGCAGGGCACATTGTCTTCATGCTCAAATAATTAGCTGCCCCTCCTGGTGGGAAGGTTCTGCATGACGCCTTACCGTGGGACCTACCCTGACAAATGTGAACAGAAGTGATTGCTACAACTTTCACACAGAGCCTGTGGCAGTGTCCCCTTGGCTGTGAGTGGACTGGCATCATTATCACAGGAGTGGGTTGGTTATCATGAGAACGGGCTCTTTTTAAACATGAGCTCAGCCCTCTCACTCTCTCCTGCCCTTCTGCCTCTGCCATGGGATAGCACAGCACCTAGGCCCTCACCGGATGCCAGCACATGGATCTTGAACTTCTCAAGTGTCCGTAGCAAGAAACAAATGCCTATTCCTTATAAATTGCCTGGTTTGTATTCTGTCACAGAAGTGCAAATGGACCAATACTGACCAACTGGTCCATTTGTCTCAGACCTTCCCTGGTGTCCCAGGAAGCCTCTCAGTCCCAGAAGAGCTGTGACAGTGGTCCCCATGTTAGCACTGCTGTGTGACCTACTGGGAGGAAGCTGGGAATAAGGACCAAGCCCGATCTGAGAGGAGGGAAGGAACTGTGCCTTTCTACTGGACGAGCTTAATTCAGAGCCTGTCTGGTCACAGCAGCCATTACCCCAACTCTCCAGGTGAGGCGTAAGGACTGAGGAGGCTGAGCTGCCTTGTTCAAAATGGCGTAGCAGCAAGCGGGGCTGAAACCCGGTGTATCTGGTCTCATTGCTGACCCTTCTAACCACCACCCTACTGTCAATCCTGCCTCCAAAAACCATCCCCAAAGTCAAATACAACAACACAGATAAAACAAAACCCCTAAACAAGCATTCCTAGGGAAGAAATGGGGGAAGTTATAAGAAGAAATCGCAGTTCAGAAAAGCTGGAGGAACCAAGCAAACAAGTTCTCTGAGCATGCTGGCAGGCAAGGCAAAGAGGGAAATACTCAGCCATCACTGTGCAAGTGCAGGAAGTTGATCAGTTAGTTCATCAGGACAGGCCTGAGCAGGGAGGGGGGTCCATCAAGAGGCTCTGTCTATGAGACCTGAGGAATTCTGTGTGACTCCCCTCTTTCCCTAAATGGAATTCTGCTGAGATACTGTGTGAAGCCCCAGGATGTCTCTGGAGTAGCAGCTTTCGATGGTGTTGCTTACTAACATGGAACACTTAGGAAAAAAGAGACAACAGTGAATGAACAGCCCTGACGCCTGCCTCATAGCTGTATGCTTACCATCTACTTCCCTGCAAAACCCCAAATGCCCCAGCAGGGGTCCTTGTGTCACCACCTCTGCATGCCCCCAGCCTACAAGGTCTCCGCCTGGGCACGGCACGTCCTCAGGAAATCCTGCTTCTCTTCCTCTGCCCAGAGGGCCAGCAAGTGGCCCATGCCCACAGCATGGGACCTGCCTCCGTGCTTGCTGAAGGACTGGACAGTAAGTAGTTCTTATCTGTTCCAATGGTGGTGGCCTCTGAGCAGAGGCAGGAGGGTACTGGGCCCTGTCCCATCTCTACAAGCCCCCCGGCTGTCCGTGCTTACTCTGACAGCCCGTGGGGAGTTTAGCTGCCTTGCTGAACCTGACGGTGGCCGGTGGGTTTGCATCAGGATCATTCAACAAGCTTTTCTGTAGCTCCTAGCAGAGCCTGGGTGATGAGGACACAGGGAGAAGTCCCCCGTCCTTACGTTTCAGGTGCCTCCAATGTAGTTGGAGAGATGAGTGGTTAAATAAATATGTGACAGCATGGCCAGTGCAACAGGCAGAGCCAGACTCGTGACTGTGCCAGCCGTGCGCTGCCCAGCTCCTGTGCCTTTGTGAATGGCAGAGATCTGTTGAGCCACTAGCACAACTTTCCAGCAGGTGGCAGTCAAGTGCCTTGAGGAAGGAGTGCTTTCTTTCCTACTTGTGGGGCATGTGTAAGATACAGGACCCGTGTATCATTATTATCACAATTGTTAGTTTCTTACTACATATTTTGTCATAAAATTGTTTTATTTTTTCATGAAATAAAGATACAGGAGCCGAACTGGAGGAGAAAATAATCAGCTTACTGGCTCATACGTGTGTGTGTGTGTGTGTGTGTACACGTGTGTGTGTACACATGTGTGTGTGTGTGTGTGTGTACATCCGTGTGCAGGAATGGGTAGTGGGAGTCGAAGAGGCCAGGAAGAGGGTGGCCTGGAGTTAGTGCTGCAGGTGTTTGCTGGCAGGGGAGCAGAGGAGGGCATCTCTGTAGTGGAATTCCCGCCTGGAGAGCAAGCTTGTCAGGCAGCCGGTGAGCAGCTCCATCTGTGGCACTTGTATACTCCACTCTCCTGGTACTCGACACATGCTTAAACGTACTAAGAGCTGGGGCAGGGGATTTAGCTCAGTGGTTCCGGCACCTGCTGTGCAAGTGCAAGGTTCCAAATTCGATCCCTGGTAACTAAAAAAAAAAAGTACTAAGAGCTCGCATTGGGAGCTATGGGGCTGGATGGACATCTGAGACCTCCCAAGGGGCGGGGCCTGTGAATCTGGGCACTGTGTGAGCCAGAACAAGGACAGGCTTTGAGGAGAAGCCCTCCAGGGCAGTGCAGGGAGAACTCCCGTCAATCTGCAACAGGCTGAGGGTTGACAGAAGGGTGCAGAGACCTAATGAAAAGTCATCAAATGGGCTAGCACACGTTCCCCATGGGCATGCCCCTATTCCAGCCAAAACAGGTCATTTCGTGATTAAACAGGATGTCTTCCTAGGCCACTGAGAGCAAACCTTTTAGAGCTTTCAATGATACAAACAGACTGCTGGTTCGCCACCACTGTTAGGCTTTGCCACGCTTCTCACCGAGGGGCAGGGGTAGAGAAGAAGCTATAGCCCTGCAGGCCTGCTGGGTGGATTCTCAGGCCTGGAGGTGATCAGGGGCACGGGTGGGAGGTGGCCCAGTGAAGGCGGAGCACCAGATCTGTCCTGATGGAAGGCACTGGGTGGACAAGCAGTTTGGGGAGACAGCTTTTCACAGGGGTGATGGACAGGACTGCAGAGTGACTTGGCATCTCAGGACCCCCAATTCCCCTTTGAATGTTCACAAACCATCTAAAAGGAGAACTGATACTGTTCCGTGCTTTCATCTTCTACACCCATTTTAAAATAGTGGTTAAGAGAGATGATGGTCAGGTTCCAAATCCTGCATCACCAGGCACTGGAGTCTTAGGTCCAACATACACCAGCAGTGTGACACTGGGCACACGCCTCACCTCTATGCCACCATCTCCTGACCTGGACAACTGGGATGATCACATTACCTGCCTCAGAATGGCAATGCAAATTTTAAAAAAGACACGAACTGCTTAAAATGGTGCCTGACACCTACCTAATAGGCCCTCTGTAAGTGTTAACTACTGCTATTTTCTCAAAAGCCATCGCAACAGGCTCAGGCAATGGTGAAGGACCTCTCTCCATTTCACAATGAGGAAACTATGCTGAGAGGGTGAGTGACTCGAGCAAGGCCCATGATTCTATGGGAAGGTGACCTAACCCAGGTCACTCCTACCTAACACCCGGTGTGGCCTCCATGCAAAAGGAGAAACAGACACATTCCAGAATATGCAGGGATTTAAAAATTCCTCAAACCAGCATCCTTAAAGGTCTATTAACATGGTGTACTTTCCATAAAAATTGAATGATTCCGTGTGGGGGGAAAGTGCAGGTGCCATGTAAGTATGGGGGTTCTGGGTTAAACAGACGGGTCTCTCTTCTTCAGGGCTTCCTGGACATTTAGAGATGCTCCCAGAAAGTCTGACATCTTGGGACAGTAGTCTTTAATTCCTCAAGTGTATGCATCCACACACTATTTTTTAAAATCTAGTATGTAAAGGGCAAGAGTTTGATGGAGGACACAAGGGGGAATTCTACTCTGTAAAACCATTCAGGACTACAGATCCCCTGCCCTGGGACTCTGCTGATTTCTTTACCATGAGCTGTTATGTACCAGCCTTTTGGCTCCTCTGAAGCAGCCTGTGCCCTGAGGCTCCTGCCCCATCTTTCCCATGATGGTTGGCCTCTGGCCAAAACTTGCTCTCTGGCCTAGCACTGCCTTTTACCTCCTGGCACCCTGTGACTCAAGCCCACTTCCCTCTGCCTGGACCCCGGAGGATAGCAGTGGGATCTGAAGTTCCACAGAACTCCCCGGGGCTGCCTCTCCCAGCACAGGGCTCAGGCCTTGTTCTCTCTTACACCCCAGGGCCCAGCCCAGAGACTGGCACCAGGCACCCTGCATCTGGGGTCTGGGGGGTCTATATCTGCCACATTCCTCTGCCTCACCCACTGAGCTCTGGGAAGCTGCCCCATGCGGGCATAGCTCTCTTCCTGACCCTCACACACCCGTCACCATACCCCTTCATTCACAGAGATCACAGGGGACAATCCTGGATGGTACCCAGGACCCACGAGTCACGCTCAAGGGCTCAAGAACTAAAGACGCATCAGCCTGGCCCCTTAACTTCACTGTTTTGTGTTTCTTTGGTTTTTTGTGTGTTTGTTTTTGTTTCTTTTTAAAGCAACAGAGCAAGAGAAGAGACCTGGACCTAAAGACTCCAGGAAGAACACTCTTTTCACTAAAAAACTTACTGCCTGCAGTTGAAGAAAATTCTGGAAAGCATCTGCATCTTGTTCTAAAGGAAACAAAAGAATGCACTGCTGTTATTTGGTGGCAAGGGGAGAGGCTGGTGCGAGGGAGAGCAGGTAACAATGGGGCTGAAGGGCCTCTGCATTTCCGGTTGGGCACTCCTGACAGACAGGTGGGACAGGAAGGGGGTGCTAGGCCCCAGGAAGGACTGGGCTCAGAGGAGGAAAGCCACACTCCTTCTCTGAGGATACAAGGGCGAGGGGAAGAATACTCAGCAGCACAGAAGGAATACTGAGGCACCCTGTCTGGCGTGGTCTTCATCTTTTCACCACAGTGAAGAGTAAGGCTGGCCTCAAAGCGGGATGGCCCTGAGGACAGGCCCAAAAGCTGAGCTTGGGGTGGGTGGGGGCTGCAGAGAGCAGAGCATCCCGGACAAGGCCAGCCACAGGTGAGGATCCAGGGCTGGCCACTCAGGCCTGCGGCCTTCCCAACACCTGAGCAAGCACCCTCGCCACCAGGATCTCAACCGGTGGTGGGGTGAACAAAAGGGCGAGGATTCTGGGTGCCGAGGAGGAGCTGGATGAGGCTGTTGGCAGTACAGGGTCTCCTGGTCAAATCTTAGGGGTACCACCTAATAGCTGCACATCCCGGACAAACCAGGTGACCTGTAGGAGGCCCATCCCAACTCCTCCTCTGCAGAGCGGGGAGGACTAGCCTGCCCTGGGTTGTTGGGAAGACAGAATGAGCTGAATATAAGAGTGCTTAGCACGTTTAGTCAACCACAGTCCCAGAGATGCACAGTGGGTTTCACCTGGGTCTAGGGGAAAAGTATGGGGGAAGGCTTTGGGAAAGCTGGCGAAAGATGCAAACCTAGATTTGAAACCTTGGGGAAGAAGAAGCTCATAGATGGTGAAAAGAGGTGGGCAGAGGCATCATGAGGAGCTCAAAGTTGGGGAGATCCAAGAGAGTGACCTCTGGGAGCCAGAAGTGCGTGGAAACAGAGTGGGTTAGCTGGTGAGAGGAGCCTGGAGTGGGGCTAGAAGACATCTGAGGCCAGCATGTGGCAGCAGGAAGCACTAACGCTCCAGAGACTAAAAGGTCAGTGGACTTTTGAGTCCAACCCTTTGGTTTTATTAAAACACCCACAGCCAGGGAGAGAGAGGGAGGAAGAGAGGGAGGGGAAGGGGGAGGGGGAGGGGAAAGGAAAGAGAGAAAGAGAGAGGGAGGAAGAGAGGGAGGGGAAGGGGGAGGGGGAGGGGGAGGGGAAAGGAAAGAAGGGAAAAGAAAAAATATGAGAAAAGGAAAAAATGGAAACAAAGTCTTTGCAAATAGGGAAGGGTGGGGGTTTTGGCGGTGCTTAAGGAGATGAGAAAAGGTCAATGACCCCCCCCCCCAACGCTGGGACAGGACCAATGGGAGGAAAAGGCCAATCCAGGGGCCATGGCTGCTGGTGGAGGGGACTAGGGGGCTCTGGTGACACCCCACACTGGGCTCAGGGGCACCGGGGCCACGTCCAGGTTTTAGCTGCCAGCACCCCAGTCTCGAAGCCTCCACCAACACACTGCTGCAGAGCACCCAGGAATGCCAGGTAATGTCTGAGGCGCAAGAACTGGTAATGCGAAAAAATTTCCACCACAAACCACATGTGGCAGCCCAATTTCGATTCGGGACAATGTTGTAATAATGAAGACACTGTTAGTGTGCTGGCCCAAGATCACTCAATCTCTCCACAAATATTTGCCGAGGACATCCAAGTGCCAGGCACTGTTCTCATCGGCTGTGCTGGGGATGAGGCGGGCAGACAAAACTCCTCATCCTCGTCCTCGTTTGGTCTGCAGGGGGAATGAGTAAGTAGATTCTGCTGGACGCTGGCTGAGGTGGGAGGAGGGTCGGGGGGAGGCAGCCAGGAAGGCCCGGGAGAGAGGCGACAGAGCGCAGCGATACAGGCCGACTGGGGGCTGCTGAGTGCAGGACAGCAGTGGGTGACAGCCAGAGGACAAGGGAGGGCCTGGCAGACCTGGCGAGGACCTGGCTTTGACTCTGCGGGAAGAGAGAATCCCACTAAGGTTTCAAGGGTGGCTGCCACCGGGAGAAGAGACCGTGTGTCCTGGGCCCGGGCAAGATGGCTCACCCAGCTCCCAGCGTTGGGCACAGAGGGGCGAGGAGAGGCTGAATCCTGGTGGGGAGAACAGGCAGTGGACCTCCTGACTGTCTAGACATGGGGGTGGCAAGGAGGCTGGCAAATGCACAAGGCCCCAGGCAAGGGGGGCCTGGGGTGAAAAGCCATCCAACACTCAGCCTGCCAGGCCCACGTCCCTCTGACAGCTGGCCCAAGAGCTGCCTTTGTGTCCTCCGCCATCCTAGCGACACGGCTGAGTTACTTCTCCAGTGACCCCACTGCTGGGTGGAGGCATGACAGGGATGACACCTGCCTCCCTGCCCTCCTGCAACAGCAACCACCTCCCATTTACTGAGCAGCAGGGCAGGTGCCTAGGACAGTGCTACCCCTCATTCTGTCCTTAAGTGGCCTTGTCGGAAAGACACTGTTATCAACATCATGTCACCGAGTCGGAGAAGTGGAGCATCTTGTCCAAGATCACACAGTTGGAAAAGGGCAGATCGGGGACTGGAGTCCAGATACGCCCGACTCCAGAGCCAGGACTCTGCACCCGCCTTGTTGCTTCAGTGACTCAGCAAATAAAAGCAAAAGCTCAGTCCCAAGTGGGAGAAAGAGGGCAGGGCAGGCTCACACCCATCGCTCCTGCCCAGAGCCAGGCTGCCAAGACCAGCAACAGGCACGCAAACTAGGCAGAACCCTGGGGGAGGCAGACATCTACATCTAAGGGCTTGGCTAAAGGTTAACCAGACACGGCTTTCTATGTGGACTCTGAAGGCCAGATTCCCTTTGCAAGCTGTCCTCTTTCCTGCCCTGGCGAGCGTCGTGTAAGCTGTGGAGTCACAGAGCCCTCTCTCACCCCAGATCTGAGCTGTTCATCTCAACGTATCCTGACCCTAGGCACAGCCCTAGAAGATCCTCTTGGCTAAATCAGAATCAGCTCTTCCTCTTTCACTTGTCTCCTTCCTATGTGAAAAATTTAAAAACAAAAACAAAAACTTCAGAGATTTCAGTTTCACTTCTCTGAGCTGTAGTTACTGTAGGGGAGTGTTGAGTCCAAGGACATGAACAAGCCCGAGTTGCACACTCCAGAAGCATTTTATGAGAAAATGTTTAACGTCCGATCCCAACATAACAACCTAAAAAGAGGCCACACTGCAGACTTCTATTCTGTGCTGGTCAGGGATGTTTTGCTGAGGTCTCAAAGAACTGATTCCAAGAGAGGGCGGGTAACTGTCCGGGTCTGACAGGCTCCAAGGCTCTGACTCAGGTGCAAGATCTTGTAGCATCCTCTCTGGATAGAGACAAACCCACACAAAATCTTCCCTGAAAGTGACAAAAGGCAAGTTCCTCAGTGGAAAAACAGAGAAAATAGAAAACCACAAAAAGGTGAAACAGAGACCAACAAATACATGAAAACTCACTCGACCTCACTGTGATCAAAATATAATAAATAACAAGATGCTGCTTCCACTGCTTAGACTAGCAAAGATTACACTTCCAAGATAAAATCAGTACTAGTGAAGATGCAGTCAATGGGCAAGAAAATCTTTTGTGAACCAGAATATAAATGGTACAAACTTTTTAAGAAAATTGGTATGAAGTATCAGAAGCTTTAAAAATGTTTATCCCTTTTGACAAATTTCATGCGTAAGTAGCATAAATATTATGACTAAGGACATCATCTGCTAAGTAGAGTTCACTTAATAGATAAGTATCTATATATAGATATAAGTATATTAACTAGTTTACAGAGATTTTCTTACAGCATTATAGTAAGGTATAATAAAAACATCTAAATGTTCCAACAGAGAGGACTGGTATATTTAAGATGAAATGCAACTATTTAAATTATACTTTAAAGTGTATAACATGGGAAATGTTCCTGCAAAAATATTAGGTCAAAAGGGACACGTTCAATTATATATACAACATTCCTGACCCTGTACTTACCTATAGAAAACAGATGAGAGGAAATTCACCGGAATATTAAGACTGCTGTCTGCAACTGGTGAGATGGGCCCGTTTATTTTACTGTAATGCCTCAATCTTCCACGTTTTTCTAAATTGAACATGAATTATTTATATAATTAAAAATTTAACAACAATAACAAAAGGACTGGATAAAAATAAGCCAAAATGTTAACAGTAGTTTTCACTCAGGCTGAGATGATGAATACTGATTTTTATTTTGGGGTTTTCCATCCATTTCAAACTTTCTCTGAGAGTACGCAACACTTTTGGACTAAGCAGAACCACAAACCTTATCATTAAGTGCTGAAATTTATTGTAATCATATCAACATCATATGAAAGACAACTAGTTTTAAGATACAAATAATAAAATGGAAACAAAGTCTTTGCAAATAGGGAAGGGTGGAGGGGGTGAAGGGAGAGCAGGAGAAGGGGAAAAAATAAGAACCAAGATACATCATGTAAAGGTACAAGATCCTAATGATGAATGTAACTGTATTTTACACCTAAAATGTACCAATAAACTTAATGGAAAAAAAAGATACAAATAATAAAGGACAGGGAAATCTTCCAACACCGTTATACCAGACTATGGCTTTGGGAAATGTTTAATACAGGAAGCGTTCAGGGGCTCCCCACTTACTGACAGCACCAAAGCCCACTTAACAACTGGCACCCTGAGCCCTGTGTCTGTTCACGTGTGTTGGTCTTCAGTGGCGTACAAGGCTCCACCCCCGGGGCACGGAGTTCTGCAGGGAGCCCTCTCTCATGGGGACCCCCCTGGGTGCCAGACCCCTGGTGTCCTCCTGTAGAGCCCTTGGGTTTCACAGACAGGTGAAGGTCCAGGAATGGAGCAGGGAGCCTACAGGAGCCTGGCAGCATCCCCCAACTTTGGCCTTGGAGTCAGTTCACCAGAACCCATTTCTTTCCTGTGTCTGGCCCACACACAGCTCTCAGGGTATATATGTACGGTATGTACACGTGGGAGGGTAGAAAGAAACAGAGATGGCGATGATGAAAAAATATGAGGATGAAACAGTTTCTGACTTTAGGATCACATGTTTTCTACAAGGGCCAGGGGAACATTCAAAACATCCTCTTTCTCTAACAAACAATAGACACAGTTAAAACTCTGATTTCTACATATCCTCATGTTAAAGGCTATCTCTAAGAGAGAAATGAAACTATTTCTTTTTTATTTCAAGTCTGACCTCTAGTTTTTCCATCCAGCCAATTTATAAGCTGACACCATGCATGAATGCTCACTTGCTCTCTCCTACCTTCAAAGATAAAAGACAAATATTTTCAATGTGCTTTTCACTCTCTTGAAATGAAATTTGTCAATAATATCACCTGCCAAGACTTAACATTACAAAAACAATTAGTGTAATGATCCAACAGGAACACAAAAAAAGAAAGGGATTAAAATAAGACAATACGCAAATCAATATGCAAATGTTGGGCACGGCTACACCAGAAGACACTGTGAATGCACAAGATGCTATAACTTCTCAAAACAAATAGTTCTCATATACTTCATAGTTGCAAACTTGGAAAATTCAGTACACAGTAAAAACATGCAAATATTATTTATGTGCAAAAGGAAGTCAGATTCTAGGCTGAGATAATTATGTGCAGAGTTTTGCCTACATGAATGCCCACTGAGTATCAGGCAGTTATGTAGATGGACAATCTTTTGTTCCCCAAGCTCTACATCTACTAGCACACTTCCCTTTTCCTGGTAAAAGCCGGGTCCCGGTCACTGAGACAGCCAAGTCACCCTCACATTTCCAATATGTCCTACAGGGGGTGCTCTGTACCCACTCAGAACCAAGTAACATGATTTACCCTCTCGCACAGCCAAAAAGAGACAGAGATTAGGATATTTACTCAAATCCATTTAGAAAATCAATGGCAGGCAGGGCTAGAAAAGGAGAAGGAACAGTGGAGGAAGAAGGAAATTATGATGCTAATATTTACATTTATCACCGCTAGACACTGTGCCAGGTGCTTTTTGTTATGCTCACTTGGGGCCTCATCTAATCCTATCAACCTTGCTGGGTAGAGCTTGTATCACCCCACACTTCAGGAGGCTGTGTCTCCGGTCAGGGTCTGGTCTCACTTTCACTCATGTCACACACAGGTTTTAGCCAGTGCTTTTTCTACGGCTTCAAGCTGCCCTCCCTCCAAGTCTCCAGGCACACACATTAGGGACCAGACCCTTCTCTTTGCTGCTTAGGTCTCCGGGATGCACGCTGTCTGAAAAACAACTCACACAAAGCAGGCGGTTCAGTCCCAGCTGCTGGGTGTTCTGGCCCAGGTGTTCCTGCACACAGGAAGTAGACTCCACCCTGATGCAGCCATAGGTCATCTTTCTCCCACTCCGGGGGTCCTGGCCTGAGCCACCAGGAGCCATTCTAGGGGACAGAGCATTTGGCACCTGCACCTCAGGCTTTGGAGGGTAGGTGGTCAGAATTTTGTTCCACCCAGGCATGGCCAGGGACATTATGAGACTGAATACCACATTCACTCAGTTTGAAAGGCAATCTGGGCTTGCAATTCTTAGGCCTCTCTCTCCCTCTTTGCAGGCCCTGTAGCCATGACTAGGCACTTTAAACAGGAAGCCTACTGTGGCAGACATCATGTTCAGGACAATAAAATATTAATAGCCCATATTTGTCACCTTGATCTAATCCACCACTTCAGGAGCCCTTTGGGGCCCGGCAGAGCAAGCACGAACCCATGTGCTGGTTGGTGACAGTGCAGAGGCCTCTGCTCCTCAGTCCATTTTGTCAAAACAGACTCTGCAGAGGTTTCATGGAAGATGGTTCAACTCAGGCTGATGTCAAATGATTTCTTGCAAATTAAAGTAGGGCCAGCACAAGCCTGGTGCACCATGAGGAAAAGGTTGTGAGATACTGGAGCACCAAGAATTAAGAGTACAGGCTCTAGACCACAAGGTCTGACTTCCCATTCATTCCTTCATTTCCTCACTGGTAAAATGGGGATCACAATGGTACCCACCTCATACAGGGGGTAGGGGTGGAGTGTTGTGAGCAGAAAATAAGACAAAGGACAATACAGTGACGCCCAGCATATGGGAAGCCCTCACTCAATGAATATCCCCTGCTGTTAGTATTCTATTGATTGCCATGTCATAGACAGGAAGGTTGGAGGCACCGGGAAACAGGTTCATGAGTCCAGGAGCACTATTTTCAGACTTCTGAGGTGGAATCACGCCATGCCGAAAGACCTTTGCTCTGGGTGGCCACAAAGGGCAGAAGAAGGTCAATGAGGAAACCCTGGCAACAGGTAGATTTGATGTCACGGTCAGGAAGGGTTTTCTAAGAGCCAGATGTGTCCATAAGGAGGGGTAGGAGGCCTGGAGCACAGATGCCCACATGGGCTTGGGACACTGGCCTTCAGAAGTCACACGGATAGGCCTTCCTGCACCAGAGGTTGGCCAGGGGTGACCTTGAGGCCCCTTCTAAGGACCAATCTCACTTGGATAATGAGCAAAAAGCTGTGGATAGCTGGGTGTGACTGCTCAGGCAGAAAGAAGGCTGGACTTTGGACCTGACAGCAAACGCGACCTTCAGAACTTTCACTTAGAACACTATTTGCTGTAGTTGTTGTTGTTACTGTTGTTGTTGTTGGTGGTGGTGCCAGTGACCACTAATGGCTATGAAACCAAAAGTTTTTCTTTCTTTTTTCCAGTACTGGGGACTGAATTTAGGACCTTGCACGGTGCCACTGAACTAAATCCCTAGCCCCTAAAAGCTTTTCTTGAACACCTGCTGGATGTCACAGCAGTAATCAAAGTGTAAAATGTTGGAAAATTTAAAGACAGTATCAATGACTAATGTCATTCTTATCTGGAGGCACTCAATTACCAAGTGATCGGGTCAGCTGACTCCATGGGCTGTGTCTGAGACAGGAAGTACCCCAACCTTCTCTCTGGTGAAAGATTCAGGGGTCTTCATTACCAGTCTCTTAGCACTGAACCACAGACACAACTCCCTGGCCTGGATCATACCAACTCAAGTTATCTGAGCCAACGTGCGCACAGAGATACATTCTGGGCCATAGAGCAAAAGGCCTGGAGCAAGAAAAAGAGAAAGAGAAAGAAAAAGGAAAATCTGCTCCCTAAAAGTTGGTTCAGAGGCAGGGCACGCCACAAGGCATCTTTCGTCATGAAAATACTGCTACCGTTACAAAATATACAAACTAAAAGTAAGATTTAAAACTAGAAACTATTTTGCCAATAAAAAACATTTGTACTGAAACTACACTACACATTCAAGGAAAAAATATAAAATTCCCAAACCACAGCCCATCAGCTATGTCCCAAGTACTTCCTGGGTTCTTGTTACAGCTAATTTCTATAATCTCAACTCTGAGAACTCAAGGGTGGCTTTGGGTATCAAAAGACTGAGAAGAAAACATGCCTGAGGATGACCTTGGGGCTATTGTAACTGTTCGGGCAGTGCCTGGCGCCATGTTTGAGAACCACTGTCTGGGCTGGTGAGCCCCTAACTGAGCAGGAAGGTGGACCATCTCTTCTCAGGGAGCATGGACTCAATAATCCACAGGCTCCAGCTCTGGATCCAAGCCGCCAGATCGGCCCACAGCCCAGATTCCTCCATCCCCACCTTCCTGCTCCTCTGCAGTGGCAGATCATGTCCTAGCATGTCACTGCCCTTTACTCTCTCTTTGGCTGCCTGTGGCCAAATCCTACTGTTTCTTCCTCCCCTGAAACCACTCCTCTCCCACTTGTTCCTCTCCCCGCTGGCCGCTACAGCCTTAATTTAGGCCCAGACCACCCCCCTCCAGGCCCACTCACATCCTCTACGACCGCTGGCCTCCAGTATTGCTGAGAGGTGACTTTGCTGTCTATTCTCCCTCGGAAAGGTTTTCTGAGGTCCCTTCACCTCTCCCAGCTTCAGAAAAAGAGCGAATACCCAGAGCCACTCTGGTCCAGGGCACTGTGTCCCCATATAGCACAAGGCAAGAAAGGGGCACAGCTCTCCCTTCATGGGCCAGCTCCAGTTTATTGATATTGGATGCTAAGGTCAGAGAAGAGGCCACC